GTGCACATTTTAAGATGCAAGAATGGTAACCCTGTTACACATAAAGATTGGTGTCTGATTTTGCATGATGGTTGTGTTCAGGGTGATGCGTAATGTATGTAGATATGCCCAGTGGGTTACAGGTCGATGGGAGTGCACCTTATAGGGCGGCCAGCCAAATATCTATGTATAGTTAACAAGATGTTGTATGTCCCAGGGGCGCGCTAAACCTCTAATTAAAGGAGGCAATGGTATAAACGTGGTTAGGAAGGTAGCCCCACCATATATTGCTTGGTATTCTTTAAGCTAGGCTAGGTAAAAAACATTATGCTCACAGACATTTATAATGCATTATGCGTTGGTTTACAAGTTCTGCTTGTTGCCCCAGTTGGTATGTTGAAGCAGGCGGGGAGCATTATTATCCCGTGGAGCCTAGCATCATGGTACTCTGTTGTCGCTGTCATCTGTGCCTTGGGGAAAAAAAAGGTAAACTTTCGGGTACACCCCTGATGAGATGATGCCAGGGTAGTGGAGTGAGACGGGTTCTCTGTTCTCTGTGTTGCTTTGCGGCGTCTTCCATGCTGGTTAAAGTGTGGTCTTCCGTGAGTGGTGTGCGGCTCATTCTGTGGGAGACCTGCTCCCCGGCTTGTCTGGGATGGAGGTGTTTGCTTGTGTGCCTTCAGTGTGATCCCTTGCGGTGCGGGTACTGGTTTGCTGTGCCCCCGTCTTTTCCACATGTTTTGGGCCCGCCTTGGAGCTGGGGTCGGAGCCCCAGATTGTGTCCCAGACGGTATGTGTCTTGTCGGGGCACTTTGCTGTGAGTTTCTCTCTGGTTGTTATGGGTATCGGGCTGGATTGTTGCAGGCCCTCTCTGTCTTTGGCGCGCGTGGCGTCCGCCATTTTAGTTGAGGTGCTTAAGCCACAGTGAGGCTGCTGCTGGGTCTTGGTTGGCCTGTTGTTGTCGTGGCCACTGGGTTAGGACCGGGATCACCCCCGCTGGTCCAGAGGGGGGGGGGGGGAAACAGGGCCAGGTCTGTGCCAATCCGGGCCCCTGGCCGGGTGCTGCTAGGCGGGATAGCGGGGCAGCGGCCGCCGCTCCGCTGACCTCCTGAGAGGGCCTCTCCCTCAGGGGGCTGTAGTTCGAAGAGCCAGCTTCTCCCTGGGTCCAGTGCCCCTTTTGCTCTGAGGACCCATGCAGTCGGTCTGTAATCTCGTGGAGAAACATGGTTTTTGAGGGTAAAGAATGTTGGTTTGCAGGAGCTGCTCGTGTTTGCGACCGTCCAGCCCCGCTCCCCCAGGATCCCACTTCTTGACACCAGTGTCACGGGTTCCAGGGTTTCTTGGTGTCCCTTGGTCACCACTTCTCTAATCCTCCGCTGCTCCTAGATTCAGCTACAGCATACAGTGATTCTAGCCCTCTGGAACTTTATAAAATTCTCCAATATAGTGGACAAGACCAGTCGTATTGGGTAAAACAAGAGAACTGTTTATTTCAGAGGAAAATACATGCATTTATCCCACAAGAGGTGGTCTTCAGCCAGCACAATGCAAACTACTGCCTGGTATCTTATTGTCTGGGACATAATTGGGTCAAGACATGATTAATTTCCTGTTGGACTCCAAGACACACAGCACAATAGCTTTTACAGAATACAATTAACACAATAGCTTTCATCCAGCTCAACATTTTACATACTAACTCAACATTAACACAATGTATCCCCATTTCCTATATATAAATTTTAATGTCTCTGACAGGCCCATAGTCTGTGGGTAGGAGGCTAGCTGTCATGCCTCTCCAGCATGCTGTGGCACAGGTTCTTCCATAACAAGAACTTATTACAAAATGTAGGCAAAATACCTAGTATTGAAAGTCAAGTCTTTATTCTCACGGCTTAGCTATTTAAACCTAAATGTTACAATTCAGTTAAAATTTTACTAAAAGTCAATGTTTAGTGAAAAAACTCATGATAAATCCAAACCTATAACTGATACTCCTCCCCCCCCAGGCTTCTATATATTTCAGAATCCTTCAGTACCACAACTTAATTGAAGTTAGGCTGTCCCTGCGGCTGGTGTCCTTCGAGTTTATAAACAGTTTAATACCAAAGTCTCTTCTTCAGTTCCAGTTGTCTCTGCCCCCTTTAACATCTGCTTACTGAAAATCTTGAGAAATTAAACCTAGGACTGCCATGGGCAGGGTTGTTACGGATTGTCTTAGATCGGTCTAACACGATCAGCCAGTCAGTAGCTTCCATTTCCAAAAAGAAAATGTATTTATGAATGGCCACCGTTTGGCTGAGAGTGTTAGCTGTAAGTAGAGTATTTACTTGTCAGGGAGAAGTTTATTTCATCCATACACCATATAGTGTCAACCTTTTGTATCCAATCTCTCATGGATAGCTTTCAGTGAAGAGGGATTAGCAAGTTAGCCGCTGTAAGCAAGTGTGTGATCAGCTTTGTCATAAATCTAGGCATGGGAGTTTAAAATCAGTAAAATAAGAGGTTTGGGTTGCAGTGTGAGCTGGATGTATGTAATAGATTTAATTAGTTTAACAATGTTCTCCCAATGACTTTGGATAACAGAGCACGTCCACCAAATATGGGATAATGTGCCCCTTGATTGGAGACTTAGCCCACACTTACCCGATGCCGGAGTCGATATGCGATGGCGAGTAGTGCAATCTGGCCATTCTCTTGTAATTGCTTCCTGGAGTGTTAGTGTTCATGGAAGATTTTATGTAGAATGGTAAAAAAAAAAAAATGTGCCCATTCATCTCGAGAGATATCTACATTCAGCTCTTTAAACCCTGATTGCCCTGTTTACAATGGGTCTCTTAGAGGAATGCCACATCGGCCCTCAATTTGTGTAACTCTGAGAGTGCCATTGAGCGCTTTCTGACGCGTTGAAGCCCTTCGCATTTAGGGTGACCACACAAATTGTAGTCATGTGTCCTGGAGTACATGTGTATGGTCTTAGACAAAAATCCCCCTGGTGTGGGTGGGAAAGGAAAGGGTATGTAAACTATTTACAAGAATTAGATGCAATCCACTTTAAATGAGTTAGATCCAGTAATTAGGTGTTCAGCCTAACAGGAAATCTACGTAAATGAGTAAGATTGGTATTTAGACTTTCGGCCTAGAGGTAAGCCGCTGGTGTCTATCCCTTGATGGGTGATCAAACAATTGACACCGCCAAGGATATTAGGTACAAGTCGTGGGTGGGTGGCAAAAGATACAGAAAAGTAAAGAAATAGAAATAAACTGTATTCTATATGTGCATTTTTTCAGCAGTTAGAATCCCTAAGGGAAAATAAGTTGTATCTTAGCATGAGGCTCTTGAGTGTAATTTTGTGTTGTCAGGGGTTAGGAAGTAGGCTCAGTGTGGTACCTACGCGGTATGCTATTGCTCCATCAATAGCACGCATATATGGCTGTTACACTCCACCATGTTCCAGGAATGCCACTTGAGGTATCTCGCTCTTCCCTCCCACAACCTTTTCTTCTACTTGTCCAATTTTGTTTCAGCTCGCTATGGTGGAAGGAGAATGAGTTAAAGTGAAATGATGGTTATGCTGTGAGAAAGAGGTAAGTGATTATAATTATATATATATATATATATATATATATATATAATTTATTACACACCATATGGGACACTCGCAAAGATATAGAAAACACACATCTGGTATCGATGGGTACAGGTACCCAGCAAAGAGGCTTCAAAAATATCCATAACAGTAAAAAGATAGGGGAGGAGAATCAGAGGAGAAGTAGAGCACAAAGTGGGAAGCAAGTGGATCCCCGAGAGGGTCCTAAGGGTTAGAAAGGGGATTGCTACATGAGTGCTGAATCGTCCCCTCCCTTGCCAATTTAAGTTAACGTTCTGACTATAGCTATGAGCATTAGGTAAAAATAATTCAGAAATGTACGACCTAAGTCTGGACACATTACATGAGAGGCTTCGAGTTCCAAACCTGCTACCCTCAAGGGTGAATCAAGACCAGACCTCGGCCATCATTAGGTCAACAGGGGATCACTTAAAATACCTCAGTGAAATGATCCATGTATCGCTTATCTAATTGTAAGTCCCAGTCAAGTAATTTAGTCCTGAACACGGCTCGAGTGATGGGAGTTTCCTATTTGATGAAAGGCTTGCAGGATTCGGTTTCCGATAAGGTCTATGGGAGACGTCTCGTGCTTAAATCCATTGCAAAGTGAAGTAGTGATATATGTATAAGTTTGAAGCCCCTTGGTACAGGTGGGTTTTAGATAACCATTGCCTCTCACTAATGGCCTGCCTGTCATATAAAGGAGCCGCGTTTGTTTTGTCATCTCAAGTCTTAGTTGTCCTGAATAAACTTTCCCTGAAACCACAACTGAATATAAAATAAAATCTGGAAACTTTGTAATCCAAGTTTTAAGTATGGGTAGATCTTGATGAGTATCAGATATAGGTCTGTTCTTATTTTGTTGACTGCCAATATTGCCTTTGAGGAAGTTTCTGAGTAGTGTGAGGTTGTTGTGGAGAATACCAATCAACCACTTGTATGTCTGGTAATCCTAGAGCAAGTAGAAACGTCTTGACATGTATTGAAGCGATAGTAAATGTTGAGCCTTGTTGTGTGACAATAAGTGTAAAGGGGAATTCCCATCTGTAACCGATATTGTGGGCTCGCGTTTGATCAGTGATCGGTTTCAGTACCTTCCTCGTCTGAAGCATCAACCAGGACAGGGCTGGGTAAATTTGAATAGTATTATTTTGGAACAGAAGTGGAGGCAATGTTTGATGCATGGCCTGTATAATTTCTTCCTTATCGGAATAGTATTGTAGACTGCATATAACATCCCTAGGGGTTTCTGAGGGTGCACCACTGGGTCTCAGCGAGTGGTGCACGAGGTCCAGAAGCAATGGAGAGTCTGTTGGTTTTCCAAGGAGCAGGTTAAAAAGTTCTTGTAGTACTTTTTTGTAAATCTTCCTGCTCTTGTTCCAGCAGGCCTTTAATTCTTAAGTTATTCTTCCTGATGCGATTATCTAAGTCATTTAGGGATCTCTGGTAAGTGGACAAGTATGAGGTTTGTGCATCAAGGGCGGAGTGCATTTGCTGGAGTTTTGTATAGATCACATCCCTATCGTCCTCCAGCGAGCTCACCCTATCGCCAACATGACAGATTTCGACTCCGAAGACTTCTATTTTTTTTTTTTTTTTTTAAACTAGCTTTCCAACTTCTGGAACATTGAAGCCACTTTTGGAACATTAGAAGGCAAGTTTTGATAAGATCAAGAATCTCTCTGAGAATAACCGCAATCAGAGCCAGTTGGGCTTGAAGGCGGCGAGACTTCTCCTTGCGACTCTTATGCCATTTTGGAAGAATTGTTCTCAAATATACGATCCAATGAATCTTGAAAAAAACTTGGCAAGTGAGACACTTTTTGCATTCGGAGGGTCTATCTTGTAGTATGGTGACCCGCTTGTTTTTTTTTCTAGGGGAATGGGGGGGTTGCCCATTTTCCAGCGTGAGCCTTAAGTTAGGGGATTCCACTGCTGAATCTGAGGAGCTCAGCAAAACGCGTCTATTAGGTTCCGCAATCGGTCACACCCATGCATTAGATAATTTTATGCACTACATGCTTCAACACGTCATGCTTCCACTGTACAAGTATGCGTGGTCTACCATTTCATGGCTGGGCTGTTGTTACTGCTAGACACATCAACTTCACAATAATGGAACTTACAGTAAACCAGGGCATATCTGGTAGAACTGAAATTTGAAGCACTGACTCGTAAAGGTGGCATTCTATAACAGTGCCACATTTAAAGTCACTGATCTCTTCAGCACAACAAATTGTACTATCAATGTTTGTCTATGGAGATTTCATGGTGGTGTGATAGATTTTTTTGCACCTGTTCGCAATACGCAAGGCTGAAACATCTTCAACTCACTCAATTATGAGGGATCATCCTTTTAACTATAAAGTGTATAAATAGACATCCTGAATTAGAAAAAAAAAGGAGTAGAAGCAGAGCCCTGGTTTGATCTTATGTATTCGATGAACCATTGTCATCTTCTTAGGGAGGCAACTCTTGCAAATGTGTGATTTGCTGGATCTTCAGGATTAGAGGCTGGACCCTCTCTGTTTCTACAAGAAATATTGCCCTGGTAAGTATAAAACAAATATCTATGTTGGCTAAAGTAGACTACTTTCTAACTGCTGTAAAGGAAATAATAGAAGAAAAAAGGCTGGCTGATGGAGAGGGCTTTTCCTGTCCTTTCTGCTGGGAGGTGCAGAGCTAACCCATATATTATTGCTGCCATGTTTGATCAACCCAACCTGTGGGCTTTAAGCTAATGTTTTTAGAACTTTTATACAACTTAAAGGGACACTATTCAGTGAGACTAAAAGTATAGGAGGACAAAGTATCATTTATAATTTTCAGAAAAAGAGAGGCATCACAGAAAAGCTATTTCTGGTTTTGGCACATGAGGATTTGGTGAACTCGTTAGTGTTTTATATAAAGGGGATACTATAGTGCTAGGAATACAAAGTTGTATTCCTAGCACTATAGTTTCATTCCCCCATGGTAAGGGTTAATAAATCCTTACTGCATTTACCCGATTGCAGCATTGAAGTCCTTCAGTGCTGATTGGGTGTTCTGCCTCCCTATTGGGGGGGGGTATTCTGGGCAGCCCGTGGTCGTAGGCATAGCTGCTGTGGTTGGGCCCCCCTGGAGTGATGCCTGCGACCATGGTAGGTAGGCCACTGGTAGTTTATCAAAAACTGCAAAAATTTACATCGCAGGGTGTGCTACTATTCCATGTTAATGAAGAATAATTGATCACTAATGAGCAAATCAAACTATTCTAGATAGTCAAGATGGCGCTGGTACACAGTACTGAAAATGTTAATAACCACAAAACACAGCACCAGAATGACTCATGCATAGCTTCACAAGATAGTTATGAGAACGTAGCTAGCTTTTAGACAAGTTATTAACCGCACAGATCTGGCATGGCATTGTTGTGGGACTGAAAGTCTGGCCAGCTTCAGGTCCCATCCAATGCTTTTGCAAGGTCTTCGCTGGGCTGCACTGATAAGATGATTTGGTGGAAAAGTACAGACTATTCACCCCTTTCATTATTAAGTTTTTTATATATATATATATATATAAAAAAAGCTAGAAAACTTGGCAATCGTTTGGACGCGTATTGCTGGTTCTGCTGATTTCCCAGTAAGAGAGGGTCCCCTTCCAGGCTGTCTGCTAGTTCTCTCAGTCGAGTGTGGCAAGTCTCTCTTATGGTGATGTATACATTGAGCTGTTCCTTTAAGCTGAATGATTATTAATTAAGTCTTTGTTAGTCAAAGTTTGTATTGATTATTTACAAGTACTTGATCTCAGTGTCTTTCCCTTTCTCAAATACTTAATTCACTCATCCCGAATAGAGTTTTGGTGCCCACCAATATTGTTAAAAACCTTAGAGTAATTGATTATTGCTTTTTGATATTGGCATTTAATGATTAGGCACAACACATGGTTAAGGGGACAGGGACATTGCACCCAGGCAACTTTAGTGAGATGAAGTGGTCTTGGTGCCTAAGGTGTTCCTTTAATGGTGTTTTCAAAAAGATGGAAATTTAAATTATTATATTTAAATGAAGCAATGGTCGGTGGTGATAGATCATGATATGTGAACAGGGGACTTTGCAGATGCATTTTATTTAGTGTTTTGTTTTCCGACAACTTAATGGCAAATAATTTGTGTGATAAATCTTTTTTTTTTTTTTTTCTTCTTACTGATCCAGTGATGTATAATCCTAACCGGTAACACAAGGAAACAGTGTCTAAGCTAGAAAAGCTAATCCTGATCCTCATAAAACAAAAGATATATCCAAAAAGATTACAGGAATCAGATTGCACCTACCCTTTTCTTAACTTTGTGTGTACATTTAAACAAATAACGCTACCCTTCAATAAACTTTTCCATCTACTAAGAATTACAAATTGCCTAACAAACAATGTATTATCCTGAACTGGACTCCTGTGTTTGGGATGGGCTGGAGATTCAGTAAAATTAACTGTTTAATACTATCGCTATTAACTACCGTATCTTCCAGAATATGACCACCAATTGCTGTTGAACAAATTGAAATCTGATTCCCTTTTAAGCCTATTTAGAAGAGCGTTCTATTCCTGTAAATATGGTACCAATCACATGGCTATAGTGAAGGAAGAGAGCAGGAAAAGGTTTTATACTGGAGTGTAATCTACACAGAGAGCAGCCTAGTTTGCTGTTAAGTCACTGAAAATGTATACAGAGTGACTAGGGTAGGTTGAGTGTGGAAGAGCAGTACATGCTGTAGTTGTAAACTGAGCTGAATCACACAAAAACAGTTGTACATTATGAAGCAACTATCAGATCCATTTCTGCCTTGGCCTTCATATAACATTCTACTAGGAATCCCCATCATCGTTGTCGGTCTTCTGCTGCTAGACTTCACAAAGCGCAGAAAAAGGTGGCCCCGCTACCCACCAGCTCCCTGTACTTTTCCATTTGTGGGGAATGTGCTGCAGATTGACTTATCAGACCTTCGCGTCAACTATAAACAGGTAAGCTTCATGGGAAATCTGTCCAGACGAGCTGTAAATATCAAAGCACCGTGTATATGTTATGAATATCATTGCCTGGTAATTATCATGCCAATCATTAATTTCATACCTAGCTAATGATTAATACACACAAACATACATCTAAACACAGAAATAATTTGGGGAAACCAAAAATAGCATTATCTATAGCCAGAACCGATGAGAACATTTGGCAAAAATTAATTTTTGCTGCCCCCTCATGAATGCAACTACTGTATATTATTTTAGAAGTTTATTCACTAAACTCTGATTTGCAGTAAATTTAAAACCGAACTGTAGCCGAATTGGAGAATTCTTCTAGATCAGCTATTTTGGCCTACATTTTGCGATTTGGTTTCCAGTTAGGTCTGATAACAGTGCTCATTCCTCTCTCGTAACAATCTGTGTATTCTCTCTCAGCAGCTTTTATCCCGATCTTTCTCCTGTTTCTTTATTCCAAAGCTTGCAGTCTCTATGTTCATGATTTTTCTTCCATTGACGCTCTCCAGCCGTCTTTCTTTTTCTTATAGGGTTATTCGCTAAAGTGAGAGCTGTTGGGAGATCAAAGTGCGAAGCTTTTAATTGAAATTAACTTTTAATTTATTTTGAATCCAACAATTCTCACTTTAATGAATAACCTCTGTCATTTTCTTTTCCCTGTCTATTAATTAAACAGTGAGCTGAAATAACTTGCAACATTTAGGCTAAAACGGAAGAGTTGTATAAAGTCACCATCTCAACTCCTTTTCATAATTTCAAATCACTGTTTAGTGAACAGACTCCTAAGTGTCTAGTTGCCTCTTTAAGAGAGACAGGCCACGACATTTAGTGGAAAATGTCTCGGAAACAGCGAAGACATTTAGGAAACGGACAGCCTTTGGAAGAATTTAAGGAACAGAGATGGACCGGTGAGGCTGGGAAGACCTTTAGGGGAAAAAAAAAAGGATTTGAAGAGACGTTTAGGAGAGACACAGTGAGATCACACTTATGGAAAGAAAGATACTGCCCCTATGTAACAAGATACATTCAGTACATGTATCCATACATACGCATTGCCCAATATACACATCCATCCATACACACCCACTGCCAATACACACATACTGCTCAATACACCCATCCATCCACACATACTGCTCAATACACCCATCCATCCACACATACTACTCAATACAATACATCCATCCATCCAAACATACTACTCAATACAATACATCCATCCATCCAAACATACTACTCAATACAATACATCCATCCATCCAAACATACTACTCAATACAATACATCCATCCATCCACACATACTACTCAATACACCCATCCATCCACACATACTGTTCAATACAATACATCCATCCACACATACTACTCAATACATCCATCCATCCACACATACTCCTCAATACACCCATCCATCCACACATACTGTTCAATACACCCATCCATCCACACATAATGTTCAATACAATACATCCATCCATCCACACATACTACTCAATACACCCATCCATCCACACATACTGTTCAATACAATACATCCATCCACACATACTGTTCAATACAATACATCCATCCATCAACACATACTACTCAATACAATACATCCATCCACACATACTGCTGAAAACATCCATCCATCCATCCACACATACTTCTCAATACACCCATCCATCCACACATACTGCTTAATACACCCATCCACACATACTACTCAATACAATACATCCATCCATCCACACATACTACTCAATACAATACATCCATCCACACATACTGCTGAAAACATCCATCCATCCACACATACTGCTCAATACATCCATCCATCCACACATACTGCTCAATACATCCATCCATCCACACATACTGCTCAATACACCCATCCATCCACACATACTGCTCAATACACCCATCCATCCACACATACTGTTCAATACAATACATCCATCCACACATACTGTTCAATACAATACATCCATCCATCCATCCACACATACTACTCAATACACCCATCCATCCACATATACTGTTCAATACAATACATCCATCCACACATACTGCTCAATACACCCATCCATCCACACATACTACTCAATACAATACATACATACATACATCCATCCATCCATCCACACATACTGCTCAAGACATCCATCCGTGGATGGCTGTCTTGAGCAGTATGTGTGGATGGGTGTGTATATTGTTACAACGGGGGCATTATCTTTCTTTCCATAAGTGTGATCTCACTGTGTCTCTCCTAAAATATCTACCAGTCTGTCTCTGTTTCCAAATATGTAGCCAAGACGTAGCCTACATGGTTAACATAATCAACAATCATTACAGATTAAAACCGATTGAGATCAGATTCCGATCAGTCAGCAGAGTCACAGCCCCAGTTCTACAGTTTGAACACTGAACACTTTAAATAATACAGTAGGTATGTGTAATAGGAGTTATTTAAAGTATTAGTGACAGACAGATTGCTTCTCTCAAGATGATTGCTTGCTAATCTCTCCGAAGGGCACTGTAACACCTGCTGGTGCTATCAGCTAATGATGGCACCTCAACAGAGAAGCCAACAGCATCCTACACTCATGGGCCTCTGCTGTCCAAATGGCAGCTCAATTGAAATTCCTTCTTAAAGGACAATAGGCATGTGCAAAACCTGCTTAAACAGGGCAGATTTCAAAGCAGCCCCATTATTTTACATGCCTAGATACTCTCAAGTGAGCTTCTCCAAACAGCTACCAATGAGAGGGAGGAGCCATGCAAACACAACCCTATTACAGAATTAAAGAGACACTATTTTCCCCCATTATTTTTGGCTTACCATCCTCCACTCCTAAAAAATAATCTTAGTATTTCTAAACTACTAAAAATATATTTTTCCTCACATAAAAACTGGTGAAACTCTGTCCCAAGTGCCCCTACGGACAAGCTGCCACCGCACACACACGACCGTGTATTTTTTCTACACTTTAAAAAACAGCACTGACTAGTCTAAAATAGTTTGTGGAGAGGATTTTGTTGGTAGGTGGAGGTAGTTCTTTTATTTATGTTTATTAAAATTCACCACACCCAGCATATATCCGTATACTAAACATTCACTACATTTATACAATTACGGGTATACTCATCCTGTATAAAAATACATTATAACTTATTATAAAGTTAGATTATAACTTTTATATGCAGAAACATTCTGCATATATTCATTCATGGAGGTAGTTCTTTGATAAGTCATTTAAAAGGTTATGTGCACCATAAATTAAGACTTCATCCTAATAAATACATTAATAAACATTTGTTTTTAAAAAAACGGTGCATAGCGTGAGGATGTCCAGCATCATTTAAAACACTTTTAGTGTTCTAAGAAGCCAAAAGTCCCTCTAGTGACTGTCTGATAGACTGCGACTAGAGGAGGACTTAACCCTGCAAGGTAATTATTGCAATTTATAAAAACTGCAATAATTACACTTGCAGGGTTAAGGGTGATGGGAGTTGGCACCCAGACCACTCCAATAGCAAGAAGTGGTCTGGGTGCCTGAAGTGTCCCTTTAAGGAGGGGCACCCAGTGGACCCCACGTAAGAAGTCAAACTTTTTAAAAATGGTTTAACTACTTATAATGAATGGACATCAGGGCAAGCCCACCATAACCAGTGCAGGGAGCTGGAGGGGATGGAGGAGGAAATGAGACACATGAAGGGGCTGGGGGGAATGATACACATGGATGGACTTGGTAGAGAACATGATACATATGGGGGAGCATGGGAAATGGGACACATGATAGTCGAGGGGAATGATACACATGGGATTCGAAGTGAATGAGACACATTGAGAGGCAGGGGGAATGAGATACATGAATGGAGGGGCTGGGGGATAAAATGAGACACGAGGGAGCAAGGAGAATGTGAAGGGGCTGGGGAGGAAATGAGACACATGAAGGGGCTGGGGAGGAAATGAGACACATGAAGGGGCTGGGGGGGAAATGAGACACATGAAGGGGCTGGGGGGAATGGGACACATGATAGTCAAGGGGAAATATATACACATGGGAGTCAAAGGGAATGAGATACATGAATTGAGGGACTCTGGGAGGACATGAGACACGTTGAATGGCTGGGGGAACACAACGAGACGTAGAGGCTGGGGGTGAAAGGTACAAGGTGCTGGGGGAAAGAGACACAGAAAGGGTTCTGAAAAAAGAAAGAGACGCAAAGTGGCTGGGTGGTACAAAAAGACACAGAGGGGCTGGGTAAGGGGGAAAAGAGACAGGCTGGGGAAAAGGGACACAAAAGACAGAGGGGCAGTGGGGAGAAAGAGACGGTGTGGAGGGAAGTTACACACAGAAGGGTTGGGGGGATAAAGATACATAGAGGGGATGGGGAAGGGGAGAAAGAAACACAAATGAACTGGAGGAGGGGAAAAGCTACAAACTGAGGAAGGGGAGAAAGAGAAATACAAAGGGGCTGGGATAGAAAGAGGGACACAAAGGGACTAGGATAGAAAGAAACACAAAGTGGCTGGAGGGGAGTAAGAGACATACAGATGTCATGTTAAAGACACACAAAGGGAAACAGTTGGTGGACAAGACAAACTAAGGGGGGTGTAAAGCAAAATGAGGATAAGATACAATATATACATTCAAAAGAGAGGATAAAAAACACAAAAATGGGTAAGAAACTCAAGAGAGGGATTAGGTAACAAGCAGGTAAATATGCATATTTTTTTGTTTTCAAGGACATGGGGAAGGGGCCAAAATGCATGTTTGAACCAGCCCTAGTAACAGGGAGTTAGGGCAATAGAATTAAACAATAATGCTAGAGAGACATGGGATAAGGTGAATAGAGAGAACCATGAATAGGGGGACCAAATAAAACCGAACTTGTGGGACAGTGACAAATGACAAGAGGGACAGGGCAGAGGGGAAAAGGCTAGGGAGATAGAGGATTAAAGAATTAGAGTGACAAAGGTCTAACAATAACGTGTGTAAGGGGACAGAGTAACAGGGGTTTGGAGCCTTTAACCCCTGTCACTCTGTCATCCTAACCACAGGTCACTCTGTCCCCCTAATGCCCTGACAAACTGGTCTAAGTTGATATGGGATTGAAGTGTATATTTAATTGTTTTAATATTTACCCCCTTGCTGATAGTACTGTCAGATGGCTTAGAATGCTATCCAAGATATGATGAGGTTCTCCAGGCAGGTGTGCAGCTCGCCAAGGCAATTGAGAGCAGAAGAATAGGTCCTGCCAGTGGCTACCATGCCCAGGTCTGTGGCGTTGTCCCAAGGACGTTAGGAGCTTAAGGATAGGAGGAAGGGCAGCAGTAGTCAAGCCCTCTGTCATTATTTTCATAGAGTGGGCATTTGTCTGCAACACAATGCTAGAGGTCTTCTGTGAAGTCTGGAGGAGGAGCATGGCATGGAAGTCAAGCCCTCTTTGATGATATATCTTTAGAGTCGCCATGGACTCAGGAGCTATGCTGGAGGACCACTGGGGAGTCTAGGGAAAGGGCGGTTGAAGTCACTCCCTCCTGGCATAATCGGGAGAGGACAGCTAACTCCACCACCATTCTGGTGTGATTGCGGCGATTTGTGGAGCAGGTAAAGTTGAAGTAGACATTTGAAAAATGTATATTACAAGTCAGTAGAGTGAGATTCAGATTTTTGCACCCCAATGCTCAGGAGCCCAAGGCGGCAACCTGTTCTGCCTTATGGAAAAGCAGATACTGGGTGTGCTAGATAAAATGGGAGCAGTTATAGACTTGTATTTTAGGCAAAAATGTGGACAATATCTCTTACAGTTTTGCCCATAGAACTGAAAAAGGGTTCTCTTTTTAACCAGAAAGGGATCTAAAAGTTGTGTGTAGCTTAAACCATTATTTTTGAAAGGGATACTATAGGCACCAAAAACACTTTAGCTTAATAAAGAGGTTTTGGTGTATAGATCATGCCCCTGCAGTCTCATTGTTACATTTTCTGCCATTTGGGAGTTAAATCACTTTAGTTTCTGTTTTTGTAGCCGTCGATACACCTCCCCTGGCTGTGACTGACACAGCCTAGAGGAAACAAATTGTTTAACTGTCAATTAGATGTTAACTTGCTTTAGAAGGTTTTATGTTCACCTCTGTAAATTGAACTTTAATAAAAATGATGCTCCAGCAGGAGCCTCATAATAATATAATACTATTAACTAGGTACAAGATAAGAAATTCTAAATTAAGCAGAATGTGCAATAAAGGAAGTGTAAACATTAGATCTCTTTACCCTGTGTTTAGGAAGGCTGTGTAAGTCACATGCAGGGAGGTGTGACGATGGATGTCTAAACAGGGGGGGAGAGAGGTAGGAGGGCTTGACAGAGGGGGAAGCTATAGTGCCAGAAAAACGAGCATCATGTATTTGGAACTAAAACTAAACTTTTTGTTCAGAGTTCTTTATGCATAGCCAAGAAAACATTAGGTGGTTATTGTAGAAATTGTACTGGAATGCTATTTCACCCATAACCTTACACGAGTTGGCAATTATTGCAGACATTTTTGGCAATATCCGAATTTTGACCTCCATTACAATGTGACATAGATAATGATTGATATATATATATATATGTGTGTGCAGAGGCGGCTCTAGACTTTATGAGGTCTTAGGCGAAACTCAAACATGAGGCCCAACATAACACCAAAATGAAAAAAAATAGAGTTGCAATACATGCACACATATATACATTGATGCACTGTCTACCTGTGTATGTGCCTGAGAGTGTGTATCTGACAGAGAGTATCCTTGTGTGTGTGTGTGTGTGTGTGTGTGAGTGTGAATGTATGTCTCTATGAGCACGTTTGCATTTTTGTCTGGGACCGTTTGTGTATGAGGTAGCTGCTTGAAGTGTGTTGTGTGTGTGGGGGGGTCTGCCTGTGGTATTTGTGCATTTTGTTTATGGCAAAGCTATGTTTCCTGACTCTGTGTGTATGATGAATGTCTTCAGCTGGTGACTGTGGCAAGAAGAATAGAGGGGTACCAGTGGCAGGGAGACTGTGACAGGGTAAATGGGACAGGGCGGGGGGGGATTATGAGAGAGAATGAGGGAGAGGGAGTATGACATGGTTTGATGAGGGAGTGTGACAGGGCAATTGCGGCATTGTAGGAGGGACAGGTGTGACAGGATTAAGGGGGGTTAATGTGACAGGGTGAGTGTGGCAGAATTGACAGGATTAGAGGCATTAATGTGACAGGATAAGTGTCAGGGTTGGGGGAATAGTGTGACAGAGTGAGAGAAGGTGAGTGTGACAGAATTAGGGGGGGTTAATTTGACAGGGTGAATGTGGCAGCGCTTGGAATGTGGATGCATGAAGAGGCTGACAGTGTGAGAAGGATGATTCTGTATGGGAGGGAGATGATACTGTATGGGAGGGGGGTGATGTTGTGTGGGACAGTGAGGTGATAATGTGAGAGAGTGGAGTGGCGGTGTAGGGGTGATGACAGCAGTACCATCTTAACAGAATTATGGGCACTGGTGCCCTGCCTACACAACAATAAAAATGTAAATTATTTATAAAATTAAGCTTATATTTATTGGTACCTTCAGCAAATGCAATATATACACACACACACACACACTGACTGCTGAACACATTCACACACTGACTGCAGAGTACACAAACATACTGACTGCTGAGTACACAAACACACAGACTGTTGAATACACAAACACACTGACTGCTGAGTACACAAACACACTGACTGCTGAGTACACACACACACACACACACACACACACACACAGACTGCTGTATACATAGACACAGTGCTCTGAATACACACAGAGACCGCTGACTAGACACAGGCTTCTGAAACACACACACAGAAACTGCTAAATACACACATACTGCTGAGTACACACACACACTGCTGAGTACACAAGTACAGATTACTGAGTACGCACACACTGCTAAATACACACAGACTGCTGAATACACGCACGCACACATACACACAGACTGCTGAATACACACACAGAGACTGCTAATAAACACATACAGCTGAATACACCCAGACTGCAGTGAGGGTGCAGTTTATGTGTGTATGGGTGCTGTGTGTGTTAGGGGTGCAGTGTAATTGTGAGGGGTGCTGTGTGTGAGGCGTGCTGTGTGTGGGGTGCAGGATGCTGTGTGTGTGTGTGAGAGAGAGGTGCTGTGTGTAAGGGGTGCTGTGTGTAAGGGTGCTGTGTGTGTGAGATGTGGGTTGTTGTGTGGGGTGGGGGGTGCTATGTGTTTTAGGAGTACTGTGGGTAAGGGATGCTGTGTGTGTGTGTGTGAGAGAGAGGTGCTGTGTGTGTGTGAGATGTGGGTTGTTGTGTGGGGTGGGGGGTGCTGTGTGTTTTAGGAGTACTGTGTGTAAGGGATGCTGTGTGTAAGGGATGCTGTGTGTGTGTGTGTGTGTGTGTGTGTGTGAGTCTGAGGGGTGCAAATGTTTTTTAAAATAATAATAATAAATATCCATTTATAAAATATTATGTTCCCCCCACCCTTCTTGTTACTTTAGGGGGAAGGTGGAGGGGACACTGCCAGCCCTGGTGGTCTGGTGATGATCTAGCCTGCAGCTCCTCTGGAGACGGTGTTTACTCCCAGATCACTCCTCCCTGCCTCCAAGGTCCCTCCAGCACTCTCTCTCCCTCTAACTAAGGGCATTTGGACCGGTGAGGGAGATCTTTGATCTCCCCACAGGCCCAAGAGGGCCCACGAGAAGAAAGCTGGCTCTCCATGGTCCAGAAGGGGAGATCAAAGGATCTCCCCTGTCGGCCTTGGCACATACAGTACATGGGTACCATGCTTGTGGGGCCCCCAGGCAACTACCTAGTGTGCCCATGTGTAAAGAGGGCCCTGGAGGACAGTGTGGGGAGGTGACAGTGTGAGAGGATGCTAACAGTGTGTCTGGGGAGGCTGTGTCAGAACCAAACATCGATCCTTCTGAGTCACTTCTGGGTTTAGGTGTTCGAAACTCTTCCCACTCGTATGATGCAAGCTTTCCCTCCCCTTATAGGGAAGCTTCGCCAAAAACAAAATGGTTGGTTATTTTGCCTTGTTAGAGAACTTTCAAACTAAGCTCCTACTTAACCGTGATTTTGTGTACCAAACCGGACCTCCGACATTGACGCTTCTGATCTTTCTTCGACAACTGCTTGGACTTATTACTTTGATGCCTTCCCAATGCCCTGGACTGTTTAGCGGATTTCCCTTCTTCTCTGAAGACGCCAGGAGTATTATAAGTATACTGCTTCTGTTAATTGAATCCTCACTTTGTTTCTACTTGCTACTAAATTGCTACAAGCTTCCTCTGCAATAACATTGTATTCATTGCCTGCTACTGCTGTTGCAAAATAAACTACCAATCTACCTACCTTGTTACCTGCTATTCTACTATTGCAAGACCTTATAATCTGTTCTCCAATTTATGTTATTATTTTGGAATATTGGAAAGGCTATTAAAAGTCTCCAAAAGACTTTGTACTTCTCCCTGATATTCCTTAAAGATACGGTTCAATTTTATTTCTGCAGTTTTGTTCATCAAAGTGTGTTCTCTATTTCTAAAGCATTACAGGCTGACCGTGAGTGGGAGTATGGTGACACAACATCGTTGTAGGTGACAGTGAGTATGGCGCATGACAGTGTGTGTGTGTGTGAGGGGGTTACAGTGTATATGAGGGAGGTTGACTATGTGTGGGGGGGATACTATGTGTGGAGGGTAACACTGTGTGTGTGAGTGAGGGTGATCCTGTGTGTGAGGGGGGTGATCCTGTGTGTGTGGGAGAGGATTCTGTATAGGAGGAGGGTGATACTGTATGGGACAGTGGGGTGATACTGTGAGGGAGGGGGGTGATAGTGTGGATGGGGGTGGTGGTGTGAGGGGGGGTGATGGTTTGAGGGAGGGGTGGTGAGGGATGGGGTAATGGTGTGAGGAAATAATGTGTGGGGAGTGGGTGATGGTTTGAGGGAGAGGAGTGATGGTGTGAAGGAGGGGGGTGATTGTTTGAGGGAGGGGGGATGATGAAATTAGGGAGGGGATGATGGTTTGAGGAAGGGGGTGATGGTGTGAGGGAGAGGGATGATGGTGTGAGCTGGGGTAATACTGTGAGGGAGGGGGGTGATTGTGTGAGATAGCTGGGTAATAATGTGTGGGAGGTGGGTGATTGTGTGAAGGAGGGGGGTGACGGTGAGAGGGAGGGGGACTAAATACCTTTTGTCATTCCTTGGTGGTCCAGTGTGGGCTCCCTGGTAATCCAATGGGCTCCCTGGTGGTCCAGTGGTGCTATCCGGTCTGCAGCTACACAGTGTGCAAAGCTGCAGACCATGCATCTCGTGCGGCAACACTCTGATTGGCCAGATCTCGTGAGACACATGGTTTGCAGTTCTGCACACTGCAGAGCTACAGACCAGCAGCCACGGGCGCTCTCCTCCCGGGCAGACAGCACCGAGGGGCCTCACACCCGGCGGCATACTGAGCAAGCCGCCAGACCCCCTCCTGGTGTTGGGTCCTCTGTCAGTGATTGAGGACCCAACACAATCTGCCCTAGGGTGGTTTAGGTGGCCGACAAAAGAGTTCAACTCCGGTCACTCTTTCGTCATGCCTGAATTGTTAAATAATTTGAATGCATACTGGTATTACTAGAGAAGGAATCAATAACAGGCTGAAGTGAAGCTTTGACGAAGTAATTGTTGATGATGAGATAAGTGAAAGTCAATTATTTTTGTTTTCATTATCAGCTGACTAAAAAATATGGAGATGTCTATAGTCTGCAGTTTTTCTCGAAAAAGCTTGTGGTACTCAATGGTTTTGAGGTTATGAAGGAAGCTCTGCTCAAAAAGATTCCCAATGAGTGAGAGAGCTGGATTTACTGGTAAAGAACAAGGTAAAGACACCAAACGCAATTTCATATTAGCTGTTAAAATGAAGATAGATTTTCCAAAAACAGTTTGATATTAGCTGTGAAAAATTAAGGTAAATTCTCTAAATAGAAACAAAATCCCAAAGCGGGGAAAGTATGTGAGAGAAAATATTGTAATTTGTTAAAAACAATCACTTATGTAATACTTGATTTAAAACGGAGAAAGGCGGGGGCGGGGCCTGGCCGCCGAGCTGAGTGGACATGGGGCGCCTCAGCTCCCTGACAAACCCGCAATAACCAGCCTCAAAATGCCCCTACTCGCCTGGAAAACCCTCAGCTGCTGTGAGAGGGCAAAGGGGACCTGACCACCAACCTTTGGGGCAAGTACCAGCCCCCACTCCGCTGGCGATGCGGTCTGGTGGGCGAGTGGGATTGCGGCCTGCTGTGAGGCCCTGGCGGGAGAAGCGGCCGATCTCCCGTGCTTGGTCCGGCGGGACCTCCCACCGCCTGCTAAGGGCCCCGTTACCCCCCCCCTGTGGGCCGGGGGGGTTATCCCGGACCCCACCGGGGACGAAGCGCTCGTTCAGGGCATACAGGCTGCAGGAGGACTGACTGGGGACCGCATGGAAAAATCCAAGATGGCTGCCGCGCTCATTGTGAGACGGAGAAGTGAGGGGGAAGTACCACAGCAACGGCAGACAGACTGAGTGCTCCTTCCACCCACAGGATACCTGCATGAGGGGTATACTCCACAAGCAAGCCCAGCTCAGCATAATCACCCTCACACCAACAGAGGCATCACCTCCCATTAATACCAGTGGATATAAGGGGACTCTCTCTGGACTCTGACTCTGCCTGAGTACAAGGTAACAATGAAAATGGGGGACAAGCTTCACTCCACTGCTAACTGTCAAGCCCCCCTGCACACTAAAACATCCAGCTACAAGCACAGACCTAGCACAGCTGCAAGAGGGATCAAGGCTTCCAACCACATATGCCTACAGAGATAACAGACTATGGTGTACCTCTTAATCCAGCACCTCATCCACAATTTTAACGTGTGTCTTTTGCATCGGACTCTCTTCCTGCAGTTAGAAAGTAATCCAAATGTCTGAGCCTGCATGTGTGTCCGACGCTCTGCTGCCCCCTGGTGGTTAAACCTAATTAAGCTTAAAGAAATCTGTTCTTGATGATAACCTTAGCTTCTGTTTTAATGGCAAAAATATGCTCACTGTTTTGTTTCCCACATATATGCCTAGCACAAATGCCGATTTAGACAGGTTAAGCATCAACTATCTCGCTGTATTTTATGTAACTTCACGCTAACAATTTAACTGTTTAGCCAAGCTTGCTAAAAATATAAAATTGTGCAGACTCTCATGCCACTGTTTAACCATTGTATATCTTGCAATATGCTGTTGTGGCGTCTGTTGATTCCTTGTACCCACCTGCACAGCAAAAATAAAGAATTACAAAAAAAAAAACGGAGAAAGGCGAATAGATTTCTATTGTGTTCATTCGGCAACAAAAAAATAATTTAAATCTATTTTCATATAAATGCTTTATTAAAAGCTGAATCCTTTACTCAGCTGGTTCAACTGGAAGACTTATTCTACGAGGGGAAGCTCTAAAGCCCTTAAAGGAACACTAAAGTTACCTAAATTACTTTAGCTAAATAAAGCAGTTTTAGTGTATAGATAATTCCCCTGCAATTTCACTGCTCAATTCACTGTCATTTAGGAGTTAAATCACTTTGTTTCTGTTTATGCAGCCCTAGCCACACCTCCCCTGGCTATGATTGACAGAGCCTGCATGAACTCTTTACAGGGAAGGCTGTGCAAGTCACATGCAGGGAGGTGTAACTAGGGTTCATAAACAAAGGGATTTAACTCCTAAATGGCAGAGAATTGAACAGTGAGGCTGCAGGGGCATGTTCTATACACCAAAACTGCTTCATTAAGCTTATGTTGTTCAGGTGACTATGGTGTCCTTTTAATGTGTCGCTCACAGTCAAAGTTTGTGACAAAATTTCTTTGTGTATTAACTTCATTAGTCAGAGTATCATAGTACTACAGCAATACAATTATTGCAAGGTGGGAGCATATGGTGGAAACCGCTCATGTACAGGTCCCCTGATTTATGAATGCTTAGTCAACAGTTCAGACTGTACCCATTAAGAATACAAACATTGATGAAATATAACTACTCTGTTAGGTTAAAAGTAAAAAAAAAAAAAAAACTGAAAAAGGAGACTTTGCAGTATGGTTTCCCCCTCATTTCCCCCCCTAAAAGTTTGTAAATCTGTGCATCAGTATATAGAGGGATACAGTAATTAAAGAGAATATTCACTAATGAATGCACAGTCATGTTTTTAGTGTGTGTTATACTTGCTATAAGACACACCTATCCTGAATACTCTGGTTTGGAAAGCACCGACTTGCTTCCCATAATAGGTTAAAAATATTCAACACTTTATAAAAAAAGGAAATGGATTTTTTTTTTCAAGCATATGTTTGGCTGCTTGAGCTTCCCAAACCAGAGACTCTTCTTTCTGGTGATGTAGTGAATATCCAAAGCAGGCGCAGGCAAACAGCGCCTGTGGTAATGTTCTCAGATCCAAGGTCATATAGGGGATGAGAGGAGAGAACATAATATAGTGTAGTATATTTTAAATTCCTGGTAAATGTAGAAAAAATGAAATGCACTTCCAATTACCTGGAGCTTATATTCAGCTCAAGATTTATGCGTCTGGACGGTACAATCCCTGTCTGTGTATATGCTGGTGGACCTTGTGTCACGGCAAGTGTGCCTAATTTATTATTGCACTATGGAAAATTGTCATTTAATGTAATTTGTGTAGTGCATTAAAGACCTCCCGGTCTGGCAGAGATGGTATTGTCAATTTTAAAAGAGGTTAATCTGATTGTATGGAGGTCAAAAAGGGTTACATCTTTTGAATCTGGACCCCCAACCGAGGTCAGATGACAGAAGGGGTAGTATGAATGGCATAACAATGTGAAAATGATTTTACCATATGGATGTGAATTAATCGAGGCTCTGCAAGGTGTGAGATTCTACACTTTTAAAAGCCTGATTGTATAGCTGGCTTTAGCCATTTGGCCGTAACTTTTAATTGAGGAGTTGATTTTTTTTGATATGTTAATGATCATTGGCTTTCAAGAAAATAATATACAGAATAATAATTAAGCCTCTTTTTTATTACATTTGAAATGCAACCAGCACAATCTTCTAATCAAGCCCAAACATGGGTTGCGTGACTTGACCATAGGGGAAGGAATTGTGATGTCCACCATATTGGGTCGCAAGTACAGTGTGCGACATACCTATAGAATGAGAAAATAATAACAAATTCATAGATGCAAGTATTAAGTCTGTGGCAGGTACATAAGAGAAGATATAGCCAAATGTTTCCATTTGGATCAAGGGGGTCTGGACACAAGGGGATGGTCCCCTAGTGTCTCTATAGATACGTCTTAACTCCTTAAGACCTTAAGGCCTTAAAGGACCACAGTAGTGCCAGGAAAACAAGCTCGTTTTCCTGGCACTATAAGGTTTTTGGGTCCCCCCCCACCCTCAAGGTCCCACTCCCGTCGGGCTGAAGGGGGAAGCGCTGGCGACTCTCCTCCCTCTTCTGACGTCATCAGCTGAATGCGGCTGTCAATGAGACTGCTCCCTCTCTGAAACTGCTATGTTTACAGCTGCAGGGTTAACCCTAGATGGACCTGGCACCCAGACCACTTAATTGAACTGAAGTGGTCTCGGTGTCTATAGTGGTCCCTTAAGGTGTGGAAATCCACAGGGTAATGAAACTGAAGTATGCCTGGTACTTGCTTGGGGCCAGAATCTAATTCTAAGTGAGTCACCATCTTTTCTAGCAGAAACCCCCTATGGCAGAATATTTAAAGAGCTGAGTAAGTGATTGGGACTCTGTTATTTAATCCCTATTGTTTTCATCTGCTGTTGGTGTAAATTATTTGCTTTTCATCTATATTTTTGTATGCACCGTGACAATTTTTTTGCTCGTAATAAACATTCATTTATTAAGTTCTGCCTTTGTCTGGTAAAGGATCACTTTACCTGATGAGACTAATTAGTATTTTGCAATTACATAGATATTGTGCTAAGTTATATTTGGCGGGTTTTTATTCCTGATTCACCTGGGGACCAAGGTATACCATTTATAAATTGTCTTGGTGTTGGCAGCGTTAAAATAGTAATAGTTACCGTATTTTTTGCGCTATAGGACGCACCTGACCATAAGACGCACCTAGTTTTTAGAGTAGGAAAACAAGAAAAAAAGAAAAGTGTTCCTTACCACCTGCTCCCCTCCCCTGTCCCATAGTGTTCCTTATCATCCACTCCCCTCCCTTGTCCCATAGTTTACTCCCCCCCTCGTCCCGTAGTGTTCCTTATCACCCGCTCCCCTCCCTTGTCCCATAGTTTACTCCCCCCCTCCCCTGTCCCATAGTGTTCTTCCACCCATCCCCTAGTGTTCCTTACCACCTCTCCATCCGTCCCTTAGTGCCCCTCTCTCTCCCCACTTTGGTCCCCGGTAGGTCTCCTACCTTTATTGTAGCGTAGCCGAGCAGAGCAGTACACACCGTGGTGCAGGAGATTCAGTTTATTGTACCTGGCCGGACTGAAAGGAAGTGCTCACTGACCTACCGGGGACCAAGTGGGGGGGAGAGAGAGGGGCACATTTGCTTCATAAGATGCACAGACATTTCCCCTCACCTTTGAGGAGGGAAAAAGTGCGTCTTATAGAGCGAAAAATACGGTATATTATTATGTTTAAGTGTGGGTGGTGCTTAGGGGGATTTTGCCATTATTTCCGGTCTAGTGCAGACAAATAGTGAACTTTAACCCTTTCACCACCACAACTACGTCACACACTCTCTTGAAGTAGGGTCTGTTCGTGACACCTTGTGCTTGTTTGGAAGAATCTTTCACAGTTATAGTGGTATTCTTATTCAGTGTGCCACAGTGTAGCAATCAGATGCCCTCAGTATACAGGAGTGAGAATAAAAACAGAATATAGTGCTCTCTGTATATTTTTAAAAAGATAAAAAATAAAAAGAGGTATACTCACATTCAGAGATCAAATATAAGTATTGCTCAATCCCAATAGGCGCAGGTGGTATAATCCCCACCAAGGATGTTGCTGTGTGAGTCATCTGGTTAAAATCTTCAAAGACAGGTCAGGAAGCCCTCAAAGGGGAACAAATGCTACCAAAGAGCCAGGCAGGGCACCCTGTATTTCGGACGCAGGAGCTCCCAAAAGTTCAACGGCAAATGCACCAAACGCCCTGGAACTATTTTGGGCATAGGACCACGTGTGCGGCCATTCAGGACTTTGAGACGGTGGCGTTTCCCCTACACTGCATGGAATTGAGCGCTATTTAAACAACTTAGGCGCTCAGATCAGGGCTATTTGGGGATGTATAATATGTGGGGTTATTGTATGTTTTTATTATGTTTTGGGGTACTTTTTGGGGTATTTTTATGTTTTGTGTTGGGCTCTCTGTGCCTGGGAGATAATTAACTGACCGGTCTTTAACTATCTACCAGACCCAGAGATTCCTGGGAGAGGCTTGTGTTGAATACAATGGAGACCCAATGCTGGAGCCTGTGCATAATAGACAGAGTTTGGCTTATTGAAATAAGTTGTACTCCCAGAACTATGTGTCGTCTAGTTACTAGGAGGGGAAAGGACTCATCACTGCTCAGTACCTTGTTCCAGCTCATGGAGGATTCAGCGGGGAAAGTCCTTGTAAGGACTACAGCTATCAATGTACAAAAATAGGGGTAATCCTGGCAGGAAAGAAATGGCACAACATAGTGCTAAACTGTACAGCAAGGTGATAGTTAATTGGCGTCTATAATCACCTTGCTGTACAGTTTGTTCCATTTCTTCCTTGGTAGGATTACCCCTCTTTGTAAATTGATATTTGTTGAAGATCCTTTTGAGGAGATCTTGGGGTTCTCTACACCTGAAGGGAAGTCATTGCTATAAAACTGCACTTTTTTCACTGGAGTACTTTATAATATTGTGAACGTTACTATATTTTCTATATTTTAAAGACTATAGCTCCCAGTTGTATGTCGTGCAGTCCCTGGGAGGGAATAGAGCTAGCCCCCTATCGTATTCCAGGACAGAGAGGCTCCAAGAGGAACCCAGTCAAGCCACGGTGACTGGGGCAGAAGCACTGAGGTTTTCCCCGAATCCAGTTAGGAAGCAATCCTTGGCGGAGGTACCCAGCCGGGGTACAGCTGCCACCAGTTATAGCAGAACTCCCTGTACCCCTGCTGGGTACCTCTGCCAAGGATCGCTTCCTAGCTGGAACTGGGGAAAACCTCAGTGCTTCTGCCCCATTCGCCATGGCTTGCTTGGGGTCCCCCTGGATCCTCTCCATCCTGGAATACGATAGGGGACTAGCTCTATTCCCTCCCAGGGACTGGGATATACCTACTATAAAGCCTTTAATTGAAAATAGAGTCAAATAATGTTTTTGTTGCCGAATGAACATAATAGGAATTTATTCACCATTCTTGTTTTGTTTTGTTTTGTTTTTTTACCATTTAAAGTCAAATATTGAATAATTTATTGTTTTTAACAAATACATTTTTTTTCTCTTTCCTGTTTTATTAACTTTGGAAATTATTTACTTTGGAAGTAGCTACATGATTGCTTAAGCCCATACATCTAACAGGGGGAGAAACTGGGTTTTTATAACCTAGCATTCACTTGTTTCTCTTTGTTGTCAAATTCTCTACATATAATTTAGTATTAGCTGTCAAAAAGCAAGATATATTCTCCCAAAATGTTTTGATGTTAGACTTAAATAAATAAAAGTAGTTAAATAAACAAACCTGTGGTATGCATAAAACTTTGTTCTGTGCTGTTTTAGCTGAACCTAACTTGAAAATTCAGTGAGAGATAATTGTCCATCAAGTCTTATCACTTGCAAGGAGGACAGTGATGCAATATGTGATTTTGTAATACATGGAAATACATGGAAGTCGATAAATAATATGTTGATTTTTTTTATCCAGGTGTGGTCGTAGCCAAATATGGCATACCATGGAGAGAACACAGGAGATTCTTATTGTCCACTCTTTGGGATGGGGAAAAAGTCTCTTGAGCAAAGAGTAACTGAAGAAGCTGGATTTTTGTGTTCTGGATTCCAAGAAGAAAAAGGTCAGTGACAGGAATACAATTACCACAGACATTATCTGGAATGCAGTAAATGATAAAGTGGTGTGCAAAAAAAAAAAAATGAAACAAATAAATAAATGAAAAAAATACTTAGTTGGAAAACTTGTTCAGTTTACCATTCGGAGTATCGCCTTAAAACAAAATAAAAAAGACATCTAGTGCAGAGCATCAGTACACCAGATATAAATGGATAAAATTAAAAACATTTAGGTATCCAACTCACTGGATTTGAGTGGATTATGGGCCACTCTTAGTGGTTTCTAAAAGTATTTTATAAAGGGGACTGAGCATATGTAAAACCTACTGAAACAGGACAGGTATTGACAATATTTTGATATCCCTAGTCATTGTCAGAAGCTTCTCAGCACTGTCTCCAATCATGGGGGGAGGTGACCTGCAGAACTGTAACCGTATAACCAGCCAGAGCCCCATGCCTTGGCTTCTGAAAATAGTGAAGCTGTTTTCTGTGACATATTACTTATCATTTTAGGCAATCAAATTGCTATGCATTTTTGATAGCATTTAAAATGATGTTTCACAAGACATTGATGAGACAATTTAAAAAAAAAAAAAATTATATGCCCCCACGCTGTGCCTTTGATCCACAATACCTAAAAAATAATGCTGTAAGCAATGTGATTTGCTCCATAGCATTTGGTGACCGCTTTGAATACAGTGATGCCAAATTCCAAGAACTGCTCAGTATCTTTGAAGAAGGTTTAAAGTCTCAAACAGGACTTCTCGTACAGGTATGTTACAAACGCTGGTATTTCGGATACCTGTTTGTTTGCTTTCTCCCAAAACTGCTAGAGGCTGAGTGATTATAGCTCGCAGTTCAGCTGTTGATTCGAACGTTCTCCCAACCAAAATACAGCATACAAGTAACTCCACCAAGTAATCAGACGCATACCCAAACATCAGCCTGAACTAGATGAAGGGTACAACAATAATGTTTTCATTCAGGCCAAATGGACGGCTTTTATGCAAGTCAAGAGTACCGTATACACGTCCACAGAAACTCCCACAACACACCCCTTATATTCCTGAGTTGACATAAAATATAAAATATCAAAAGTACCTAATAAAACACATAAATATTATAGGGACCTCCATAAATGGCATATCCCCGGATAGCTTGGATCTGAGCGCCCAAGTTGTCCAAATAGCACTCAGATCCCACGAACACAGTGAATCGCCACCATGGTAAATATTTGACTGACCCTTCACGAGGTGCTTGCCCAAAACTGTTCCAGAGTTTCATGGGTAGTGGGCGGTCAATTCCAGGATCCCCAAACTGAACAAATACACAAATGGTGCCCCAGGCTCATAGGTAGCGTTTGTTCCCTGGGTTTGTGAGAACAGCGTCCTCCTGGCTGGTTGGGTAAAAGAAGCAGGCATTCACGAAGTTGACCGGCGTTCGGGAAGCCGAGTGTCTGATTTGAAGTTCTAGACACTCAACGACCAAGTCCCGCTGCCTCTTTTCGTGCACCAAGATGGTTCGGTTACATGAACGGCGGCCACGTAGGGAGAGTGCTAATTCCTGTGGTATCCTTTGAACTTAATGAGCCGGGGGAGTCGTCGGTGTTCAGTAGTTTTATCTACTGAACCAAAAAAATCCGAATGAGAACCAAAGTGTAACGGACCGTTTTGCCCAAAAGAGGTTAAAAAACGTTTAGGCGATATTCCCCTTTTTCAGCTGCACCGACAGCTACTGCAAGCACCAATCTCCTGAACTGCAAACCCACGAATTCACCAACTCCCGAACTGCAACCAAGGGAATACTCGAAACTCCCGAACTGCATACCAAGGGAATACTCGAAACTCCCGAACTGGAGACACACGAATAGCTGCTAGCAGACGAACAGGAAAAGCCCCCAAGCGGCTTACACTCCTGGCAATCAGTCTCTAACAGCATACAGTAAATCCTCCCCCAATAATGAGATGACACTTCACTTTGAGGGTTAAGCAGGAACTGATTTACTGGGGCTAACTGCCCGGCTTTTATGCAGGTCTCCCACCTGGTGGACACTCCCCTAGGGGACCAAATGGGAGACTGGGACACAAAGGGTAAAAGGACCAATCACAGCCTTACACATTTCAACCATCCCACAATGCATCACAATCCCTCCTCTCTGCCCTGGAGATAATTTGGGAAGTAATTCAATTATCTCCAAAGACAGAGGCAAAACTCCATTAACCACATGGCAGAAAACAAACAGTAAAAGACATAAAATTACCTACAGTTACATTCAGTACATAAAACATATATGTTCTACATATCCCCAGATAGCTCAGGTCTGAGCGCACATTATTAAGCGAATGGCGCTCAGACCACATGAATACAGTTTAATCGCCATGGAGCCAAAGTCTTTACACAGTCAGTTTCATGCGAATGGGCTCCATGGGATTCCTATCTGGGGCACAACACACTCAAACAAAACTACCGAACACCGGGCCGTTCGTGCACTTTCACCGAACAAGAAGGGAGGTCGGCGGCTTCAGCGGTGTTCGCGCAAAACTGTGTCCGATTTCAGTTCCATGAATTAAGCGTCGAACACCGCTGTGCATTCGCATGTTTAAAATGGCCGCGACCTCGTGTTCGTGATACGAATGGCGGCCACCCAGCATTCGTCAATTAAGCTGCGGTTAACCGCAGCTTCAGGGAGGTTAATTGCCGGCACACTCCAGCTCCCAGGTGGTCTATTCATTCGTGCGGTTGTTCGGTAGATTGAATCTACCGAACCCCCGGCAGAAAAGCATGAATAAGTCTTTTCTGCAGGGAAAAAAGATGTCTTTTAACATGGGGCCATAGTCCAAAGGCAGCAGGCGAGCAACCAGGCTTCTCCAGTGTACAGTGGCGAGGTTGGTTTCGCCACACAAAGTATGTAGTTTTCTTCGCAAGGTAGATTAAGATTCAGTTATAATTATACAACTATCGTACTATAGTTTTTTACTCAAACCTTGGTAGGTGCTTCTGAATCAGCCCTCCACATTTGTTGCTCCCTCAGCACCTCCCTGTAACAATGCTACACTATTTCCTAGTTTTGTACTGTACATAATCTAACAAGGCCATCTCTGCACGCCACAGGAGTCAACCCATATGCCAGCCTTCCCACCCCAATCAGCCAGCCTTTGGGGAGAATTCTCCACTGCCAGGCCCCAATATAGCTTTAAATGTCCACAATGTGGTGAGCACTAATGTATAGATTTAGGTACGGAAATATTTGAACACTGACACAAGTTTTCATCTGCTTACCAAAATAACTTAAAGTTACAGTTAAATAATGAGTATGAGCTTAAAGGACCACTGTAGTGCAAGGAAAACAAACTTGTTTTCCTGGCACTATGTTGTCCTTAGTCCCCCCCCCACCCTCAGGGCCCCCGTTCCGCTGGACTGAAGGGGTTAAAACCCCTTCAGCCACTTACCTTTCTCCAGCGGCGCTGGTGACCTCTCCTCCTCCTGCCGCCTGCGCATTCAAACCGCCCATAGGAAAGCATTACTCAGTGCTTTCCTATGAACGTCAGCGTCTTCTCACTGTGATTATCACAGTGAGAATCGCGGAAGCGGCCTCTAGTGGCTGTTAGTGAGACAGTCACCAGAGGCTGGATTAACCCTCAGTGTAAACATAGCAGGTTTTCAGCTGCAGGGTTAAAACTAGAGGGACCTGGCACCCAGGCCACTTCATTGGTCTGGGTGCCTATAGTGGTCCTTTAACCCCTTAAGGACACATGACATGTGTGACATGTCATGATTCCCTTTTATTCCAGAAGTTCTTTGACCCTTCAGGTGACAGGCCCTGGAAGACAAAGATATGCACCTGTCTGCTCCACTGGTGGTTGCACCAACCCTGCCCAAGCCAGACCCGTCACCAATGATGAAGGCCGTCATACAGGAACTACTGGCAGACCTCTGGTGCAATATCCAGGCCAATGTGGCTACTATTCAATAGGATCTGCAAGGCCCGACAGGCCACATGGGAGCTTCAGAGCATGTATCAAGTAACACTTCTCAGCAAGTTACTTACCTACAACAAGCGTTGCAGACACTGCAGTAGCATATTAACTTTGAGTAGTGGTTCACGGTGATGGAGGACTCAAGGACTAAAAATCTTAAGATTAGGGGCTTCATGAAAGACATCCTGGATATAAGGTGCCTCAAGAGTGTAGCATTGTCCCCTAGACAGGCAAATTTGATGACATGTTCCAGATTCCCAGGACAGCTGAAGCCCTAGCAACAGCACCAAGGGATTGGTTGTTCGATTCCAGAATGAGCAGGATTAGGCTGCTGTCATGAATGCAATCTGGGGGGGTCACTCTTGCTACTTTTGAGAACTTGTCTCTTTCTTTTTATGTTGACCTACCAGGGAGTACCCTGACCTGGAGGAGATCACTTCTGCTCTTTACATCCCTCCTCCATGTGCACAACATCAAATATAGGTGGCGAATGTTCTACACACTGGTTGTACTAAATGGAGACGCTTCCTATTGATTCAGGATCTTAAAGGGGCAAAGGCACCCCTAGCAACCTTGGGACTCCCACAGAACTCTCTGACTAAAGCAAGGCCAAAAAACAGCCACCACACCTCACAACTGGGACCTTCCCAATGGGACACATGCAGCTGCCACCACTTGAGCTCTCCACCATTCTACCAATCTACTTCCCTTCTCCTAACCTTACCTTTTGTGTCACTATAACCCACTCCCTCTAGCATGTAAGCTCATTGAGCAGGGTTCTCAACCCCTCTGTTCCTGTGTGTCCAACTTGTCTGGTTAAGATTATATGTTTGTTAGTCCACCCACTGTAAAGCGCTACTGAATTTGTTGACGCTATATAAATATAATAATAATGGTGCAAAATCTTCATATCGACGACTCCACCCGCTTTTCAGAGTTCATTTCTGTATTGGGTTGTGAAATAGGCAACAGTTGCTCCCCAAATGCTATTTAACCTATATGAAGCATATCCTTTTGACTTGTGGTAAAGGCAGCTCTAGTAAATACCGTCTATCACAGGAAGATTTCAGTACACAATGAGTGTTAATCTTTAGTGATCAAGTCATATATTCATGTATGAAGACATAGAAACATAGAAACATAGAATGTGACGGCAGATAAGAACCATTCGGCCCATCTAGTCTGCCCAATTTTCTAAATACTTTCATTAGTCCCTAGTCTTATCTTGTAGTTAGGATAGCCTTATGCCTATCCCACTCATGCTTAAAGACATACATAAAGTGATTCATTATAGTATATCCTATGTATTATTTTAAAGGGTACCACTGTCATTACCAACTTGTCATCCGTGCTGAAAGATGAAAAAGTGTGGAAGAAACCATATCAGTTTTACCCCGAACATTTCCTGGATGAGAATGGCAAGTTTGTGAAACAAAAAGCGCTCATGGCATTTTCTGCAGGTAACTAAAAAAAAATCTATCTCTAGTGCAGTCAACCTTTGGCATTCTATGTGTTGTGGACTACATCTCTCCTGATGCTTTGCCAGCATTATGGCTGCAAGAGGATTATGAGAGATATTGTAAAGCGCTACAAAATTTGTTGGGGCTATATCAATATAATAATAATAATAATATTGTCCAGAACATATGGAGTGTTAAAAACTGCAAACCCCTGCTCTAGTGAATGTACGGGATATTCTTGTAAGTGAATGCTAGAACTGTGGATATGTATACCGCTATGTATGTATTTATAATGGGAATGGCACCTCTTTTATCATTGCTAAAGGTTATTCAACCAAAATGAAATCAATGCATTATTCCAAAGTATGGAGAATTTTTACAATCAAGAATTATCCCTAATCTTCACTGCTCTGATCACCAATTTATTAAATGTTTCCTAGGAAGGAGGAGAGTAGAGAAAAGTGCAACAGTTAAGTTCAGCCTTTTTATTAAAGACACCAGAACACATAAAATAAAACTCCATACAGCAGAACTTTCCAAGCCTTTCATGTTGGTGACACACTTTTCAGACATGCATAATTTCGTGACACAGTGGCGGTTGATACGGTGTTCTATTTCTCGAACATATCACTTCAGTTGCGACCGGATGTACAGTAAATGCAAACACTACATATTCACCACAGCCAGTACACAAATTGAAGTGGCGATGCTCCTGGAGTCTGCAGGGACCATATCCCATATCACTGTTAAATTATTTGCTTACCTGTACTGGAGTGAATGACCTAAAAATGAAGACAGGTCTAGTCCAAGTCCAGGTCTCATGAATAGTGTTCTGATGTAAAATATGAATTCAGCTGAAGGCTTGTAATGACAAAAGTAGTGTATTACCTTGTTAACCTGTTATAGTGTGACAGTAGCGACCCAGAGTTTTAACAGGGCACCAGTTGTCTGTGGGATAAAGGGATATTTCTACAGTAGGACCCATTTGTTTAATATGAGTACACAATGATCTGTGATTTTAATGAGATTGTAAACATTAGGACACCGTGATTGATCTGACAATGTTTCTAATGTAAAGTCTTTCTCTTAGAAAACCATAAGAGGCTATATATTTGGCAGCATTAATTACTAAATTTGTATATGATTATCTAGAAGTTGGAATTTTGGCCCGCCAATAGGTTGTCGTTTGTTGATTACTGGATAGTCTACTATTTTTATGCCTTTAAAATGGTTTTAATGGGGTACATAGGCATGAAAGGTTTGTGATTAGGAAAGGTGACTAATAAGTGATGTTGAATACCTGTCAAGTAAAGTTTATTGCACCTTTGTTAATTTAAAATAAAGATGGCAAAAAACAGCGAATGCTACTATGATCTCTATGGAATATGATTCAGTTGTCTGAAAGTCGGTGATAAATCTATTGAATATGGTGAGTACTCTGTTGTATGTTTTCTGCCTGTTGCCAGATAAGGTTACCTGTGCCGGCAACCTGCTGTGGGCCTATACTTAGGTTAGCCCATTATGTCTTTGAAGGCTGGGGTTTTGGATGGTATTTCCTGACAGTTTAAAGAAGTTCTGATAATGAGAATGGGAAAGGGCATCTGCTGCGGAGTTTTGACAGCCTGGAATGTTATCCTGCGTTCCAGCGTGGTTGCGCATGCACGTGACAGTCACGCATGCGTCATGACATATGGCGGCGTGCGTGACGACGCACACATGAACGCGCAATCACGGAAGCCAGCGTATGGACCGGCAGATTTAAAAAGGGGGAAGATTGAGAAGAAAGAAGAAGCTCCTGAGGAAGTCGGACGACAAAACGCGTTGAGCATCATCTGGGACTCTGCACTTTGGTATCAGCAGTTTTTATCCTGTATGTGTGCTGATTTTATACACTGCTTATGCAGTATTTACTTTGGGCTCATTATACTGTATGTGTATAAGTGATTGGCTTGGTGCACTTTTCTGTATAGGTATTCTGCACTTTAGCACTTGCACTTTATTCCACTGCCCAGTTCAGCATCATGTATTGTTAAGCTGCTATACCTAAGGGTTCCTTGCCTATTGTGGCTTTTTAAATACTTTGGCACATATGTTGTGCTGTGATTGTATTTTTTATGAATAAACTTTTGCTGTTTTTTGCTCGATATTCTATATTTCTTTCTCATTCCTTCATCATTATACACCAATATAGTGATTGTGGCGCCCTGTTCTTTCTAGTGTTTTGTCTTTAATTATTGGAGTTGGAGTATCCTGTTTACAGAGGCTTGCCTGCACCTGTTTTTTTGCTATTGTTCACCCACCTTTCTATTTTTTTCTACATGCCAAAAAAACTCCCCCATTGTTGTTAGCCAGGTGTGAATGGGCCAGCAAAATAAGGAAACTGATTTCTTCCACTCAAGGATCATTAAAGGGACACTATAATCACCAGAACAACTACAGCTTATTGTATTTTTATGATGAGTATAATAATCATTCCCTTCAGGCTTTTTGCCTTTTCAGAGAAAATGTAGTGTTTACATTATAGCCTAGGGATACCTTCACTGGCAACCCCTCAGGTGGCTGCTAGAGGTGCTTTCTGGGGCAGTGCTGCACAGTGTGCAGCAGTGACATTTAGTGTCTCCACCCTCTGCATGGACACACTTAACCTTCCTCACAGAAATGCATCGATTCAGTGCATCTCTATGAGAAGATGCTGATCGACCAGTGCTGTGTTTGGCTTGTGCATGCTCTGCCCCTGATCTGCCTCCTTGACAGGAAAGCATTGGATTGGCTGAGACTATATGCAAGCATTGTGATTTGCTCAGAACAACACTTCTGATTATGGCAGCCAAGCAGGCAGATCAGGGCAGAGTCACCTGCAGCAAACTGGAGTAAAGGTAACATTTTGCTATATTTAGAGGGGCAAAAGGGGACAGGATCAGGTGGACTAGATGGTATTTTTAACTGTAATTATACTCTGGTCTCACGATGGCTGAATGCCTCATAATGGCGGAATGCCGCATGTATTAATATACATATACTTACTACAATGAGGGCTAAATGTAAATATACTAATACATGAGCTCGCTGAATAAGGGACGAATGCTCCTGAGACAAAAAGAGACTTTAATGTGTCACATGGCAGAACCTCCCCCCTCGAGCTGGGTCCAAAAATAGATAGAGTCTGTCGTGCTTTTATATCCACCAGGCAGCTATCGATATGCTTTGGTTGTCAAATGTCAAGGTAGACTTGCAGATGGGGGAACCAAAAAGGCAGAATGCAATCACATAGAAACAGGACGAATGATAGGGAAAGTAAAATTGTTTAAACATATGCTTATTGTAAATACTGTAACTGGGCTGAATGATGGCTGAATGAAACTTTAATTTTTACGAATAACTGTAACTGAGCCAAATGATGGACAAACAAAATTACAATGAAATACATGTTATATCCGAATGAGGCTAAATGAAAGCTCCATACTTTAGTTGTAGTTCAGGTGAATGAGTTCAGATGAACTTGAACAAGGCCCAGTCCTTTAGTAGCAAGCCAGATATTGTCTGGATTATAATGAATGGATAATAGTATAGTTTACCGCACTTTGTCCAGGAGCCAGAACCAGAAGTGCATAGCTAACCTAGGCAACGAGTGAAACGATCGGCAACGGCCCAGGTAAGAGGGTTATCCAAGTTTATTTAGGTCGAGTAACCCCTTACACAGCTACATGCCTTCATCTAAAAATATATGTAAGGCTGGGCCTGTAGTTGTGGGAGGGGCTTAGTTCCCTTCTTAAAGGGCGCCAGACCTCTCCCCATTACCGTTACTGATCTGGCATTTTCCCCTCCCCCAACTCCCTTTTCTGACATTATTATCTAAGGTGGGCCATCTTTTATTACAGGCCTACCGCATCGTTGGCTCTGGCACACCACGAGCGACTCTTTCATATTACTGTATTTCATGTGTTGGGTCCTTTATATACCTACTTGTAATGTGCTCTCATCACTGCTTTATGCCCCGAACACATATAGGTATTTGGTACCTATATTGTTATATATGAGAATGTTTCCTGAGCAGCTATTTGTTTTTCTTTTGCCAATTATATTTTTATTAAAGCTCAGGAGATGTACAAACAGTTTGCATACATGGGTAAAGAAATATCAATAGTACCAAATATTAACATACAAAAAGACAGTAGAACTTCAGAACAGCCACTTTGCCTAAATTTTGTGATTGGATTCAATTTGTTAAAATTTGTTATTTGTCAATAACCCTGTGCAGTGTGACTTGTTCAAAAATTCATGGTGAAATTCAAGTTTGTGAATAACTTATCTAAGTTGGAACAAAAAATATCCAAGTATGTATTTTATTCTACTTTTTTGGCTTACAATTTGACAGCCATATGACATATTATTGAACATGCTTAAATGGGATGCTGCTGGGGGCCATATTATACATAGTGCATGGAAAGTGTTAAAATACCATAATTTGAAATGCCATAGGGTGTCTACTTTTCAACAATATATGGTTTGATTGGGGTAAATTATATTGTCCTGCTTAAAAAATGTCCCAAATGGGACATGGGTGCATGATGACTAACTGTGAAAATTCCAATTTGGAAAACTGGAATGCGCACCCTCCAAATAAGGTCCTTTAGTCCCCAGATAACCCGACACACCTATACATGGGTGGTGTCGCTGTACTCCGGAGATGTTGCTGAACACATATTGGGGTGTTCTTTGGCAGTAACCCTTAAAGTTCTCAGTACATATATTCTTAAATTGCTATAGCCCTATAACTTTCCAAAAAAGCTAAGAACATGCTAACATTAGGCATTTCTAAACTCAGGACAAAATTTAGAAACTATTTAGCATGGGTGTTTTTTGGCAGTTGTAGATGCGTAACAGATTTGGGGGGTCAAAGTTTGAAAAAGTGTGTTTTTTTTTTTCAATTTTTTCCATCATATTTTATAATTTGATTTATAATAAATTAGATGATATGATGAAAATAATGGTATCTTTAGAAAGACCATTTAATGGCGAGAAAAACAGTATAGAATATGTGAGGGTACAGTAAATGAGTAAGAGGAAAATTACCGCTAAACACAAATACCGCAGAAATGTTAAAAGAGATCTGGTCCCAATGGTAAGAAAATTGAAAAATGGTCTGGCCACTAAGGGGTTAACCAACACACACTGACCGACACAAACTCTCAGATACACATACACTGACATACACTCATGGACAGACACACAATGACACACACACACATGCCTCTGGGGGCCCTAAGTTGGCCAGCTTGGCAGCTCTTTGGCCCCCTAGGACGAGAGGCAAGCAAGACATTTGCCAGGGTGCTTGAGGTGGCCCCCTGAAAGTGCTGCCCTATATATATATATATATATATATATATATATATATATATACATATATATATGCGGCTTGTGCTTTAGGGTGCACACCCTAATGCAATAGGCTGCGCATGCCTATGCTGAGAGATTACCTGTAATCAGGAAGGGTATGTTATACTAATACTTTTTTTGTATTGCAAGCATTTATTTTATTAATTCCATATACTCTGCTTATGATATATTAAAAGATTATTAAGTTTATATATCTGTATTCATTTATATTCAATAAACTATTTTATTAAGACAAAAGTTATTGCTTCCAACTCCTGTTTTTATTGTAATCTCAATTGTTTATATATTTTAAATAGAGAAACTCTATACCAACTATATAACATTTTAGCTAAGATATCTGTATAATTAGCCCTGTTAAATTCTGTTTCAAGACGTTATAGTGGTAAGCAGATGTTGGCACTGTGCCAATAGTACCTTTAATATTAGACATAGGAATACCCTGTATTCCTGTCCCCACTGTGTGAACTATAGGACTATTAACAATTGGTGCTATTAATGCTTGTCATAACAAGTCTCTCATAAAAACATTCTAGCATTAACCTCTCTCTTTCTGTTCGTGCAGACTGTGCAGCTGCTGGTAGTTCATGGCTGTGTACAGGAACATATAGGAATCCCCTACCTACACCCAACTATCCTGAGACTAATGGACCATGCCTTGCTGGTGTATGAGGTATATTAGGGTGTTTACCAATTAGTTGTATATATGCCTCTCTTGTCATATTAATTAAGATCTGTGTACTTAAATCTGGTAAAGTATTAGGTAGTTCCATAAATGTTGGCTCATCTAGATACACATTTTCAGCATTAGCTTATTGAATGCTGATTACAGCATACCTGGCTCCTGAACCCCAAGGGCCTTGTACAAGTTCACATAGTACCATTTCTCCATTATGTAGATCTCCCTGTGTCTGAGCTACAAATTGTTCATTAAATTCTCGATATCTCAAGAATAATTGTCCCATGACAGAGATTTGTGTCTTCTCTTACGTATAAGAGGTTACCTAGGTATACATTTTGTTTAGAAAACAAGTAAAGTTAGTGCTTCCAGCCCCACGTTGGGCGCCAATTGTAACCGCTAGTACTCATATTTACCACTATAACGTCTTAAAACATAGAGATTAGCAGGGCTAACCATACATATATCTTAGCTAAAATATTATATAGTTGGTATAGAGTTTCTCTATTTAAAATATATAAATAATTGAGATTACAATAAAAACAGGAGGTGGAAGCAATAACTTTTGTCTTAGTAAAATAGTTTATTGAATATAAATGAATACAGATATATAAACTTAACAATCCATTAATATATCATAAGCAGAGTTTATAGAATTAATTGAATTAATGCTTGCAATACATATAAAGTATTAGTATAACATACCCTTCCTGATTACAGGTAATCTCTCAGTATATGTCACCTTCAAAGTCGGTCAGTAAGTGTCTGTCCAGCATTGGTCATCGTATATGTATAAAGTGTAATAGTTCTAATTACTACTGGTAATGCATAGGTTAATTCATTTATAAGGTTAATGCAGTTCATAAATGAAAAGGAAAAGTTTATTAGAAGTCAGTATGAAGTAGCATAGCCTTGAAAATGTTTATGCATTCTTGTTATTGTATTAAGCTAAGACAAAATGGCGTGAGTTAGAACTACGCAGCATGTTATGCAATGAAAGAAGGGGAGAGGTTATTAATTAAAGAAACATGGTTCAGCTTAAGAATTAAAATTCAGCAATGTATATTATCGTAAAATTGCCCATCACATAGTATTCCTTTTTGAATTTTGTATTGTGGATATTCTGTGAGGCAGGGCTCGAGTCCTGCAGGAACGCATGGGAACGGCGTTCCTGCACTTTTTCTAAAGCAGGAACGCCGTTCCCGTTACCTGTCCTGCAGGACCGGCCCTGCTACCTGCACTGAGGGGCCAGCACATGCTGTGTTCCCTCTCCAGCTCTAACTCTCGCGAGACCCGCGGCTGTTACCATGGCAACGCTCCGCACAGGCGAGTCTCGCGAGAGTTAGAGCTGGAGAGGGAACACAGCATGTGATGGCCCCTCTGTGCAGCGGCTGCCTCCCTCCACCGGACCACCAGGCGATCTCCCCCCTCCCTGACAAGGTAAGAAGCAGGGAGGGGGGTATCATCCAGCACACACACACACATCATCCAGCACACACACACACATCATCCAGCACACACACACCATCCAGCACACACACATCATCCAGCACACACACACACACACACACACACATCATCCAGCACACACACACACACACACATCATCCAGCACACACACACACATCATCCACTGCGCGCACACACACATCATCCACTGCGCGCACACACACACATCATCCAGCACACACACACAGACATCATCCAACACACACAGACATCATCCAACACACACAGACATCATCCAACACACACACACACACATCATCCAGCACACGCACTGCATTCATTATACACACTCTGCACTCACTTTACACACTGCACTCACTATACACACTCTGCACTCACTATACACACTCTGCACTCAATATACACACTCTGCACTCAATATACACACTCTGCATTCAATATACACACTCTGCACTCACTACACACACTCTGCACTCACTACACACACTCTGCATTCAATATACACACTCTGCACTCACTACACACACTTTGCATTCACTACAAACACACACACACACACATCATCCAGCACACACACACACATCATCGCACACACACACACACACATCATCCAGCACACACACACACATCATCCACTGCGCGCACACACACATCATCCACTGCGCACGCACACACACATCATCCAGCGCACACACACAGACATCATCCAGCGCACACACACAGAAATTATCCAACACACACACACACATCATCCAACACACACACACACATCATCCAGCGCACGCACACACATCATCCAGCGCACGCACTGCATTCATTATACACACTCTGCACTTACTTTACACACTGCACTCACTATACACACTCTGCACTCAATATACACACTCTGCACTCAATATACACACTCTGCATTCAATATACACACTCTGCACTCACTACACACACTCTGCACTCACTACACACACTCTGCATTCAATATACACACTCTGCACTCACTACACACACTTTGCATTCACTACAAACACACTACATACACTGCATTCATTATACACACTCTGCACTCACTACAAATACACTGCATTCATTATACACACTGTGCACTCACTACAAACTACATTCATTATACACACTCTGCACTCACTACAAACTACATTCATTATACACTCTGCACTCACTACAAACACACTACATTCATTATACACACTCTGCACTCACTACAAACACATTACATTCACTATACACACTCTGCAGTCACTACACAAACACTGCATTCATTATACACTCTCTGCACTCACTACAAACACATTACATTCACTATACACACTCTGCAGTCACTACACACACACTGCATTCATTATACACTCTGCACTCACTACAAACACACTACATTCACTATACACACTCTGCACTCACTACAAACACACTACATTCACTATACACACTCTGCACTCACTACAATCACACTACATTCACTATACACACTGTGCACTCACTACAATCACACTACATTCACTATACACACTGTACACTTACTACAAACACACTACATTCATTATACACACTCTGCACTCACTATTGACACTACATTCACTATACACACTGTGCACTCACTACAAACACTACATTCATTATACACTCTGCACTCACTACAAACACACTAAATTCATTATACACACCCTGCACTTACTACAAACACACTGCAGTCACTACAAACACACTACATTCATTATACACACTCTGCACCCACTACAAAGACACTACATTCATTATACACACTCTGCGCCCACTACAAACACACTACATTCATTATACACACCCTGCACTGCACTATATGCAAAGGAGTGTAATTTTTTTAAAGGGGGGGGGGGGCGGGAATCTTGGGTGAGTTCCCACACTTTGTTCCCCAGGACTTGACCCCTGCTGTGAGGGGATATATGCTGAGATATCCACTAGAGAAGGCTGTACTTTATATCATAAGATAGGTGCTTTTTAAACCACCTAACACTGAGGGTGAAGTTCTGGGCTGTTTGTATATACATTCAACTCAAGATAAAACATTATAAAGTTGTTATGGTGCCCAGAGGAATCATGTCATTGTGCATTGTCTCACAGTGGCCAAATTAAAAAAATTAGATCTAATAATAAATACTCATGTAATGTTATTCTGTAATGTGCACATCACAACACATCATTTACATGAGGCCAGTGGTATGTTTCTTTAGTGTTGACTTTATAATAGACCTTTACTCACATGAGATGAGTTACATGTTTACTGCAATGGTGACCTAACATTGCACATTTATGGACAGGAGTTCGATGGCAGGATTCTGTCACAATGACCTCATTATATTTGTTTAGCAGACATTCAAAGCAGTTTTTTTGTAATAATGGTGTGACGTTTAATACTGTATGCAAATAAAATTGTTTATTCACACCCATCATACCAAGATTTCCACCAAGTCTAAATAAATAATAATAAAAAGAAAAAAATATATTGAAAGTAAAAAGTAAAAATAAGAGCTTAATACTCTATACGCTTTTACAGTTACGTCATGTGGAAGGAGCAGAACGATGCTGTCCTCTACTGATCAGACTCTTATCTCCAGTAGGGAGAAGGGGAATAGTAAAAAACTATTAAACTCTGTATTCAGCTCTCACTATTCCCCTTTACCCTGCTAATACTACTTGCTTGCTGAAATAGCTGACTCGCAGGACTAACCATGAGTCCTACTGTAACAGTTTGTGTAAATGGTTCCATCACATATTGATCTTTTTTCTAAATATTGATACATATCAACTATAACTATAGAGTCTCCCTGACACAGTGCAAAGCGGAATATTGGTAACACAAAGAACCCCCCACTTACAGTGAAACAACATTAAAGGACCACTCTAGGCACCCAGACCACTTCAGCCTAATGAAGTGGTCTGGGTACCAGGTCCCGCTAGGGTTAACCCATTTTTTTAATAAACATAGCAGTTTCAGAGAAGCTGCTATGTTTATGAATGGATTAAGCCTTCCCCCAAATCCTCTAGTGGCTGTCTCATTGACAGCCACTAGAGGAGCTTGCGTGGGTGATTTTCACAGTGAGAGTACGCCAGCGTACATAGGAAAGCATTATGAATGCTTTCCTATGCGACCGGCTGAATGCGCGCGCAGCTCTTGCCACGCGTGCGCATTCAGCCGACGGGGAGGAACGGAGGAGGAGAGCTCTCCGCCCAGCGCTGGAAAAAGGTAAGTTTTACCCCTTTTCCCCTTTCCAGAGCCGGGCGGGAGGGGGACCCTGAGGGTGGGGGCACCCTCAGGGCACTATAGTGCCAGGAAAACGAGTATGTTTTCCTGGCACTATAGTGGTCCTTTAATAGTGATAACAAGTGAATTGATTGTATATATTAAAAACTTCACTGGATTTAAACTTCACTGTTTAGCTTAGCGTTCTCCTTTTTCGCTATAACAGGCCTAATAGAATCTATTATAACAAAGTCGGACCAGTAGAGGACAGCATCGTTCTTTCTTTTTATTATTAATTATTAAGACTTGGTGGAAATCATGGTATAATGGGTGTTTGAATAAACAATTTTATTTGCACACAGTATTTTTTTTTTGTAAATTCTTTATTTTTGAAAGGTTTTTGTTGGTTCATGGGGTGGGGGTACAGAATTGAAAGTGGTGGGTTAAAGCTTGTGGTACAGTGTTTGCAGAATGTACATTGTTTCTGCATTGCTTCATAGATGCATACCTTAGACATTTGTCAGCAGATGCAATTAATATCAATTGTCTGGAAACACATATTACCGTCAATTTAACATTCAACTTGTGTAACCATGGGTGTGGGATGGGGTGCGGAAGTAAATGGAGGGGTGTAGGTTACCCTTTTGTGTGACGTTCTGGTGGTGTGTTTGTGTAGAGAAGTTCTGCAGTTTGAAAGTCCCTGTGGTTAGGGGGTTGTGAGGCCTGAGGCTTCCCGGGAGTGGAGGTACCGTCACCTATTGTGGTGGTCGTGCGTGTGTGATCCATGTGGTGATTTGTTCCCGGTTACCTCTCTCATCGGTCACTTTGCCCGTGTTGTGCTGTGTTGAACTTCTGTCTTATCTCTGGGTCAGCGAGTCAGGGGAGGGATTCGAATCGAGGGAAGGGCGCAGGGGAGTCTGGTTGGGTAGCTGGGGAGGGGGGGGATTGGGTGAGTGCGCAGGGTCGCTCTTGAGGGTCCATCTGGTGTTACTGATGTGGTGTTTTGGCGTTGGGCAGTTGTTCTCCGCCCGCGCGGACGGGACCCCTACAGGATGGGTTAGGAGAAGATAGGGAGGGGGGGGTATGGGAGGGGCAGGAAGGTTGCAGGAACGTGCCAGTGCTCCTCCTAGCTGGTGCATAGCCGCTTTGTTGGTGGTGACATTCGTGTGGCTCGGGGTGTTGTCGAGTATGGATGCTCTTACTTCTTGGATTCCATTAGGTCGTCTGATCCTCGTTCAGTTTCACATGATTCATATCCCAGGGGTCCCATATGCGATGGAACGCTTTGTACGTGTCGTTTATTTGTGCCGTGAGTTCATCCAGGTCCCGGGATTCTGTGATTTTTCGTATTATGGTGGAGGTCGTAGGAATTTTTGGATCTGCCCACAGTTCCGCTACCGCTCTCCGCGCTGCGAGGTTGATCCGGGCTGCCAGTTTATTTTCGCTCCTGGTAAGGGAGTCTTGCGGTTTGTTGAGAAGCATAGCCCACGGTTGTGCAGTGACCGGCTTGTCTAGGATTGTTTCAATGAGATTGTTGACTTTGACCCAAAGCGGTTTGAGTTTGGGACATGTCCACCAGCAGTGGAGGTAGGATCCAGTGGCTCCGCACCTTTTCCAGCATTCGTCATCGGGTTTTTGGCCCATTTTGTAGAGTCTGTGTGGTGTCAGGTACCAGCGTAGCATCGTCTTATAGGCCTGTTCCTTATGTGTGACGCAGACCGTAAGGGAGTTTGTCGCCTCCCAAATTTCGGCCCAGTCACTCGGGTTCTCTGGTGGTCCCAAGTCCCGTTCCCATGCGGCGATGTACTTGAGGTTGACTTGGGAAGCGTGAGTCGTCAGTGTATTGTAGATAATGGAGATTTGTCCCGGTTGCAGCGGCGCGTCGAAGCACTGTTTTTCAAACGCCGTCGGTGGTGAGGTGCCCGCTTGTTTGATCATGGGCTGTTGCGCCAGGTCCCGCAGCTGTATGTACCGGAAGTGATCTGCCGTGTTCAGCGTTTCCGCATGGGGAAGTTCGTCATACCTGAATATTTCCCCCTGACGGTACAGATGGAGTAGCCTCGAGATGTCTCGCTGGTCAAACGCTAGGAAGTGTTTCGCCGTCATCCCGGGGGGAAAGAGTTTGTTGCGGTATATCGGTGTTACCGGGGAGAGGAAGGAGGATAGGTCATATTTTGGGTTGAGCTTGTCCCAGAGAGTTAGAGTGTGGGTGATTGCCGGTGAAGTTGGTGGGGGGAGTGGTCGATGTATGCGCGGTACCCACATGTACGAGGAAGGTTGGTCCCAGCCCAGGATGTCGTGTTCCAAGTCCACCCAGCGCTTGGTACCGGGGGGGGCATGCCATTGTTGGATGTGGGCCAGTTGGGCAGCATGGTAATATTGCTGAAAATTGGGTAGCCCCAGTCCTCCTCTGAGTCTTGGGGTGTACATAGTAGCTCTGCGTATTCTGGGTCTTTTGGCTTTCCAGATGAATTTGTCTATGGCTGCCTGGAGGCGATTGAAGTCCGTTTTGAGTATCGGGATGGGCAGCGTTTGGAAAAGATAGAGGAACCGCGGGAGGAGGTTCATTTTGATGGTGGTGACTCTTCCCAGCCACGATATTCCTAGCCTGTCCCACCGCTGCAAGTCCGAGTACGCCGTTGTGAGGAGTGGCGTGTAGTTGAGGCCATAGATGTCGTCCAGTGTCGGCGCTAGTTTGGTGCCTAGGTATGTAAGGGCGGTCGTGGTGATGCGGAAGGGAAAGGAGCCGCGAAGCAGACGGAGTTGCGAGGGTGATATTGTGATAGGCATTAGCGTTGATTTAGTTATGTTGATTTTATAGCCGGATATGGTGGCATAGTCGTCTATGATAGAGAGTATGGCGTGTAGGGAAGGGACAGGGTCCGTCAACGTTAGAAGTACATCGTCTGCGTAGGCTGCTACGGTGTACGTGTCTTGCCTGATCCGAACTCCCTGTATGTTGGGATGGGTGCGTATAGCTTGAAGCAATGGTTCCAGGGAGATTGCAAAAAGAAGTGGGGAGAGGGGGCATCCTTGCCTAGTTCCGTTAGCTATGTTAAAGGTTTGGGCTCCGACGTGTGGGAGTAGGAGCTGCCCTGTTGGGCGATTGTATATTGCCCGTAAGATGTTCAGGAATCCTGTCGGGAAGTTCAAGTGTGCCAGTACCCCGAACATATATGGCCAGAGAAGACGATCAAATGCCTTCTCGGCATCCAGCGAGAGCACTACCGATGGGATGTTACGGTGCCTGGTATACCAGATCGTATCGTAGGCTCTCCTGGTATTGTCGGCCGCCTGCCTTTTGGGAATGAAGCCGACCTGGTCTGGGTGGATCAAGGATGGGAGGTGCTGGTTGAGGCGGTTGGCAAGGGTCTTCGTGAGTATTTTCAGGTCGGTGTTTAAGAGCGATATTGGGCGATAGTGTCCCGGGTCAAGCTGTTCCTTCCCTGGCTTGGGTAAGAGGCATATGTCTGCTCGCAGCATGTCAGTGGGGAGTTTGTGTCCCTGCAACAGCGAGTTAAAGGCCTTACATAAATGTGGTATTAGTATGGTCTGGAACGTCTTATAGTAGATGGCTGTGAAGCCATCCGGTCCTGGGCTTTTTCTGGGTTTCAGTGTCTTGAGGACCAGGGCGATCTCCTCGGCCTCGATGGGTGTGTCCAGCATGGCTTGCGCTCTGCTGGATAAGGTGGGTAGGTTGAGGGGTCGTAAGAATGAGGAGGTGGCTTCCGCCTGGTTTATTTCCCCCGTGGGCGTTGGAGTGGCGTGGTTGAATTCCTGGGCTATTGCTTCTGGGTTTGTCGTCGTTCACCAGACCTAGTTCGGATTTTCGATATCGTCTTATTTTCCTGACGTTTTTTGAGGCAGCGTGCCAATAGTGAATCCGCCTTGTTGCCCTCTTCATAGAATCGTTGCTTGGACCACATGAGATTCCTCGCCACGTCTGCTGCTGAGAGTTGTGTGATGAGGTCCCGTGTCGTTTTGAGCTGCGTCAGGAGCGAGTCTGACGGATTTTGTTTATGTAGGGTTTCGAGTCTTGTTAAGTCAGCCAGGGCGTCTACCATTTTCCGTAGGCGTTGCTTTTTGAGGGCCGTGGCTATTGCTATTAGGTGTCCTCTGATCGTTGCTTTATGGGCTGCCCAAACCGTTGTCGGCGCCATGTCGTCGGTGGCGTTGAGTTCAAAGTAGGTTTTAAGGTTTTCCGACACTGTGTGGACCGTGGCCGCGTCTTTGAGTATCCATGGGTTGAGTTTCCATCGCCACGGGCGCGCCCTTAGTGGGATCTGTATCGTCAGCGCGACTTCCGCGTGATCGGACCACGCAATGTTTCCAATGTGTGTGTGAATGGTCCAGGGCTGGACGGCTGGGGATATGAGGAAACTATCGATACGGGAGTATGACTTGTGTGCGTGGGAGTAGAAGGTAAAGTCCGCGGCGGTCGGGTGTTGGAATCTCCAGGCATCCAGTAAAGGGGTTTCCAGTAGAAAATCTGCATATAATTTGTCGTTCCTGGTCGAGGAGGGTGCGCTACCGGACTGAGATCTGCGGTCTATGGCAGGCGTGTGGGTCGCGTTTATGTCTCCTCCTATGATTAGGTGTTTGGCTGAGAGGCTAGTGAGGTGGGTCTTAAATGTGTTCCAGAATGTTGCATCCGGGTTGGTAGGGGCATACAGGGAGCATATTGTTAGTGTAGTCGTGCCCGCTCGTCCTGTGAGGAAGAGGAATCTCCCTGAGGGGTCTTTGCGGGTTTGTATATCATCCAGAGGGCACGAGTTTCGCAGCAATATTGCAACTCCTTTCGTTTTTGCTTTTGGCGAGTTGGCCAAATAATATCTCTTATAGTGCCTATTAAGTAGCGGGAACTGTTTGTGATCGGTGAAGTGGGTTTCCTGAAGTAGGACGACGTCCGCTCCCGTGCGGTGGGCCCAACGTAGTATCCCATGTCTTTTCCCTGGCGAGTTGAGTCCTTTGACGTTGAGGGAAATGAAGCGGATTTGGAGGTTCCGCGGTGCCATGCTGGTGCGTGGGGGTGGTCACGATCCGGCAGTGGTGCGAGGGGCGTCGGTTAGCTAGGCGTCCGTTCGGGGTGCGTTGGGCAGTCGAGTCTGGGTGGGGTCGGCAGGGGTGGTGGAGGGTGGTAGCAGGGGTGGGTTAGTAGGGTCCCGCCCGCGCGGGTCTTTCGGGTCGCCGCTGACGCCCTGCGGGGGCGGTGTGTGAGGGACTGGGCTTATCAAACTGGCCAGTCGAGGTTAGGCGGGGGCCTCGGTTGTCCGTCCCAAGGTCCGCGCGGCAGTCCTCGGGAGTATCGAGGCCGGTGGGAAGGGGTGTACACAAGTGGTGGCAGGTTCCGCCCACGGCCTGCCCATGGTCCTGTTGCTGTGGCTGAGCCTGGGGTTGGATGGGTGGTGTATGAGGGCTTTTGGGTGTGTGTCCCGTCGTGTGGCGGGCGTGTGCATTCTCTTCGTGAGGCGGGTGTATCAAAAATTCTGGGTGGTGTACCCGCCGGATATCGCTATCCCTGTATGTGTGTGTGTCAGGTGTCCCTTTGTGTGTGGGTCCTGCGTGCGCGTATATCCCTATTTTGGGGTGCGTATGCATGCCATAGGGACGAGTTCTGTCCTATTAAAGCTCTGATTTGCCAGTAGGGTGTGTCCGGAAGGGGCAGTGGAGGGGTGACCTCATGTCGTGGGTGGTGGTGAGATGGCCTGGAGTGTGGGTTGTCTATCGCGGCCTTATCGGCTCTCAAGAGGGCCTGGTTGTGCCTCCGCGGTCTGAGGTTCAGAGTGTGTGTCGTGGTCTGTGGGAGCGGGTAACAGCCGGTTCCTGTGTAAAACATGCATACATTTACAATGCAACATTATAACGTTATAACATTTGAACAAATTGTTAATGCCTTGAGCAGAGGTATCAAAAAAAAAAAAGGAAGGGGGGGTCAGAGGGAGCAGTGGTCTGAGCTGGTGCTCTCTATCACATGTAGGAATTGTCCCGTAGGTCCACGGTTTATCCAAAGAGCGGTCGTGTACGTCTATACCTAGTCTGCGGTTCGGCGTCCGGTCAACTGGTTAGGGGTCGGTCTGCCTTTGATCAGGGTGTGTGTGAGGCCTGGGAGCAGGTGGGGCAGTGTTGTGTGTGGTTGCTGCCGGCTAGTCGTGCTTGATGTGGGCATGCGCTGTGCATGTGATGGTGGTGCTTGTCCCTTGTCCGTGAGTCATGTGTGTGGAGCGTCCCTGGCTCCTTGCCCCGTCTGGCATGTGTAGGGCTAGTGGGGCCATGGTATCGGTCATGTGCCTGTTGTCGGGAGGTCGGGGATGGGGGGGTCAGCGGTTGCTGCCGGTGTATGGTCTCCGTCAGTCAGAGTGCGGGGTGCAGGTCATGCCGGAGGGGCGGGTTTGTCGGTCCCCCGTCGCCCCGTCATTCCCGTCACCCCCCCCTCCCCCCCGGAACCCCCCCCCCATCCCAACTTCTGGGTCCCTGCCCGCCCCGTTGGAGGTTGTCTGTGGGCGATAAGCGCTTCACAGGATGTTTAGGGGATCGTGTGTATGCTGCCCCCTTTAAACCATACTTGCGGTGTGCGGCCCAATGTCCAAGGCATAGAGTCTCATGGTGATGGGGTCCTGTGGTGGTAGGTGCCCGGGAGGGGGGTGCCGGAGAGGAGAGTCTTGTCAGGTGCCTTCTCCCGTTCATGTCAATCGGCGTGTCGGGGGGATTGTCTCTGTGCATGTTCCTCGGTGCTGGAAACTTTGGTGTAGCCTGTGATGGTGTGGCCTTGAGGATATGTTCCTGTGGTGCCGCTGGGAGTCCGGGCGATGTCGGGTGTGCTCTGGGGCTGGAGCCGGGGGTAGGCTCGGCGTTGGGGTGTTGTCGCCGAGCTCGCCGGGGCCTGTCCATGCTGGTGCGTCTTCCGCCCTTTGGTTGTGGTCAGGGTCGTTCTGTGCTGTCTGAGTGGTCTAAGTGGTGCTGGTTTCCCCGGATCCGGATTGAGCGCCTTCTGTGCAGCGATGCAACTGTATAATATGTCTGTGCTTGTCGCTGGCTGTTGGTGGGTCCGGCGGGGCATAGGGGAGCCGGTGAGACAAGGCAAGCTGGGGTGAGAGTGGGGTGTAGGGGACGCGGGGTCGGATAGATGTGTCAGCGCCACCGTCCCCCCAACCCTCAGGTTCTCCTAACGTGTTGCGCCTGGATTCTGCAGTGCCGTGTTGCGATGGGGACGGTCACCGGTCCTGGCGGGCGGGTTATTGCTCGGTGGTTGTCGTGCTGAGGATTCGGCGTTGGAGTGAGGTGTTTCTGGGATTTGCGGTAAGTTCAGCTGGGTCAGAAGCGCAGGGATTTCTTCCGGTCTTGTGAGGGAGTGGAACCTGCCATCTTTGCGTATAATTATTTTGAAAGGGTGACCCCACGCGTAGCGGAGGCCGTGGCTGCTTAGGTGTTGTGTGAGTGGTTCTCTTCGGCGTTTCAAGGTGGTGGGAGCCAGGTCTTGATATAGTTGTACTGGCGCTCCCTCTACCTCGATGGGGGTATCCCTGGCTGCGCGCATTATGCGCTCCTTGATGTGATAGAAGTGGAGGCGCACCACTATGTCCCTGGGTACGGCAGCGTTGGTGCTTGGGGCTCTGAGGGCTCGGTGTGCCCGGTCCATCAGTAGGTCAGCTGTTGTAGCCTCCGGTAGGAGGTGTTGAAATGCCTCCGTGAGGGTGTCAGTGAGTAGGTCGGGCGACACCGATTCAGGGACGCCCCTGACCCTGATATTGTTCCTACGTGTTCTATTATTTAGGTCTTCGTTGGTGTCTTCGAGGGAGCGTAATTGATCTCTCAGGTGCAGTATTTCACTGCCATGGGCCTGCACGATCTCCTCTGTGTCCGCCATTTTGGCCTCTGCGGCCTGTGCACGGGCTGATAGGTCTGCCATACCTTCTAGTATGGGGCAAAGACGTTTGTCCAGTTCTTCGGCCACAGATTGTTTGAAGTCAGCCAGGAAGCCCTGCATGTCCCTCCTCGTCAGCGGTGCCTCCGTCCTCTCCGAGGGTGCCTGGCTGCTCATTTCGGAGTCTGAGTCCGACGGGAGGGGCTCCAAAGATGGCGCCCGCTGTTGTTCAGGCTTCTGCCTGAAGATCGGTGCAACGGAGGAGTTGCGGGCTTTCTTCCCTCCGCCCATGGGGAGGGTGAGTGTGGGTATAGGGGGGGGGGAACGTGGGGTGTTTTCGGGGCTCAGGTGCTGCTGATAGCGGTGGTTTCAGGCTAGGCCGCGGCGGAGCTCAGAGTTTATGCGGCCATTCACTCGCGGGGTTAGGCTCCGCCTCTGCACACAGTATTAAATGCTACATGATGTATATTTCAAGAAGTGGATCTCTAATGCACGAAACATGTTAGGCTAACCCCATCACATTTACCTGCAACCAGCAAACAATCTAATTTCATCAAAATGAGCCATTCGCCTAAATTACTGGGTTTTTTAATAGCTGGAACACACAGCACCTAGTGCAGGGGTCCTCAAACTGTGGCCCTCCAGATGTTGCTGAACTACAACTCACATGATTCTTTGAATTACATAGATTGCCAGAGAATCATGGGAGTTGTAGTTCAGCAACATCTGGGGGGGCCGGAGTTTGAGGACCCCTGACCTAGTGGAACACACGGCAGCTTGGTCATCGGCTGGAAATACACAGCTGGGAGGACTGCAGCCCCTATCATACAAAGTCATACCAGGAACCAGGAGACATGGTTTGTTTGCTATTTGGCTTTTAATCAGTTGTGAAATGTAAGCATTTTTTTTTTATCTAATTATCACATAAATACCCAGGACATACTTGAAAATGAGAGAAATCTCAATGTATCTTTCCTGGTAAAATATTTTATAAATAAATAAATTATAAATAAATAAAGTGTTTAGTCATACAGAAAGCACTATGGACTGCACTTTGTTTTTTTGGTATACTGAGGCCACCAAGTGGATACTTTTTTTTACTACATTTGATCAATTCTTTAAACGTTATCCAGCTATCCAGTGTAACTTGAAGGAATGCTAAGGAGACCGAGTGGATTTATATCATTACACATGGTCATTTTCTGTAATTGACTAGATCACAGGTTATTTGTACTTCCAATTGCTTTTTTTTATTACGATATTATTTTAGCAGACAGGCTTGGGCTCAGCATCCATTTATCCCTTAGCTGCTTAGCTGTTGCAACCTTATAGGTCACAACTGCACCAAACCCACGTTTGCTATATTTTGGACATCATTTAGACCTTTAAGGGACATTTGTGGGACTTTCTTGATTATTCAAGAAGTTAAATAAGAACATGCTTTTTTTTGTGAGTGTTTATTCTTGTTTTATCATCTAGTCATTTTACCAATTTCATATTATCTGTTTTTATCTTTTTATCACATATTGCACCAGAGCCTCTCTTTTACTTCTTTATTTTTCTCTCTCCTTGCCTTCTTGCATATTACATTTTATATCCTAAATAGTAGCTCCTGGTCCCCGACACTATTTTATTTGTTGTTTCTGTTATTTAGTTTCTTATGCAGGACTGGTGAATCCTGATCCAGTTGAGCATTACTTAGACTCTCATTTCCACACTTTCTCTTTTTATCAGGATAGCACACCCAAGTCTTACTAGGTCACCTTCCCCTCTATTAGACTTTTTTATACAGCTTTCTATTTAGTAGTACTCAGAGCTAATTAGCTGGAGGTAAACAAAAACATTTTAAGATTGTGGTGACTGTGCCTAATGGTGTAATGTACATGTCTGTGCAGGCTGTATATCAGGGGTGGGGAACATTTGGCCCTCCAGATGTTGTGGACTATATTCCCCTTGATACTTTGCTAGCATTGTGGCACTAAGAGCATTATAGGAGATGTAGTCCAAAACATCTAGAGGGCCTAAGCTTCCCTATCCCTGCTGTATACAATGTTTATATAAGCAGGCTGTGCGTAATATCTGTGTGTTTGCATGCAGGCTGTGTGTAATGTATGTCGCACCCAGGGGCGTACCTAGAGCATTTGGCACCCGGGGCGGATCCCCCCCCCCCCCCTCCCCCCAAAAAAACCTGTAAAAATGTTAAAGGTTTTATTTCTTTTATTTTTACAATTTGTAAACTTTGCAAAACCGCTGTCAGCCCCTCCTACAAAACCCTTGTCCTGCCCTGCCCCTCCTACAAAACCTCTGTCCTGCCCCTTCTACAAATCCTGTACTGCCCCATCTACAAAACCCCGCAACCCCTTTCCACAAATCCCCTGCTTATCCCCCCTTATAAAGACTCCTGTCCCAATACAAAACCCCCACCCCCTTCTACAAAATCCCTGCAGCCCCACACACACATTTACAGGCAGACAGTCACACACTCAGTTACAGACACAGTCACACACTCAGTTACAGGCAGACAGTCACACACCGTCACAGGCAGACAGTCACACATACACATTTCCTCCGTCACGTGGTTTCAGCTGTTTGCTTGGTGACTGGCGCGGCTACGGCACCTAACTACTGCATGGGACACTGTGTGGCCACAGCTCACACAGCCCCCTCCAGCCAGGGCCGGTACAAGGATTTTTGCCGCCCTAGGCAAAAGTAAAGTTTGCCGCCCCCCATGTGACATCACAATGCCCCAGCCATATGATTTGCCATGTTAACTAACGCCAGTGCTGCAGTGCCGCCGTGTTTACATTAAAAGGCCTGCAGGGACGGGCTATAGACACCAGAACCACTACATTAAGCTGAAGTGGTTCTGGGGACTATAGTGTTTCTTTAATGTGAGTTAAATTAGAGCTTAGTGCCACGAATAATATACTAGATTGCCTACTTACAACCAGATGAGGATGATGATGGGCTCTAGCTGCAGTCTGGCTCCACTGGTCTTGTGCAGAACAGGCTCTCTGGAGGCGGTTTGTAACTGTGGTCACAAAAATCAATGTTCTGGGAGAACGGGAAGCAGCTCCATTTTTTGGGGGTCCTTTACACAGCTCAGGGTCTGGGTCCCAGGGTCCACCTTCATGTTCCACCAATGAGTTTGTTCACAGGGGGTGGAGTGTGTAGGGGATGTCCTGATATGTGTGTAAGGAATGCATTGTGAATCTGTGTTTGTATGTGTAAGGGCTGCAAGGTGTGTTTCTGTGTATGTACGAGATGCATTGA